AAAGCAATAGTGTAAAGGAGTTTTGTATTGCTAATTACAGTTATCATGCTGTTGAAAATCAGGCAGGTGGAAGAAAACAGTTATGCAAAGTATACTTTACAATAAGTAACTGAGAAGCAACAGTACATTCAAAATAATTACTTGACTAAGTACATTTTATTTGGCACCAATGTGGCAAATCAAATCTTTAATGTTTGGTTTAGTTTTCATTTTAAGAGTGTTCTTGATCTAGTTAAATGTTCAGTATCATCAAATGTTCAGTCAAATATTTAGTATGTTAAAAATCTATCTGCACTCATTTATATGCTTTCATTCCCTTGTTAGGCTGAGTGCTACAGTTACTTTTGAAAATAACTGTTACTCATGCATAGATGTGTTTAAATACTTAGGCTGCAAGGTACAAAATATCTCTTAGTGAAGGAAACTAAAAATGAAAGGAAAACTTTTAGAATAAAAGTAGAAATAAGCAAGTATCTTCAAAACAACCAAAAGCTTGTATTTTATAAATATACACAAGACAGATGATGGGTATTTAGTTAACACCAAAAAGCTGAGTGAGCATTTGGCTGTATTGTATGGAGATAAACAGGGAAAGTACTGAAGACAGCCTCCTCCCTTCTATGCCTCGTTAAAGTTTTCTCACTGCACCTCCTGAAAAATGTTGCAGAAGAGCAATATTAAAAAAGGGGAAATGGAATTCAGTTCATAGCAGCTTCAGAAGGCCATGTTTGCCAGTCTAGCCCAAAGAATCATTAAAATCTGTTGGGAGCTACATAAAGAGTAACTCTTTGCCATCAAAGACCTTTCTCACAGCATTTTCTGAGACAGTGGGTTTAGATGAAACCACAATAAAGCTGATTTGCTTTGATCAGCTCTTTCAGACTACATGGTCAAGATTTGTACCAAAAAGCAAAGACAAAAACCTGGCCTTACAGGAATCAATAGTTCTGCCACTGCCACTGTGTACACCAAGATTTCATTACGGGTTTCTATAAGACTGTGCCATTAAGAGATCATTTTTGATATAGAATAATCATGTTTTGTCACAGAACATAGGTCCACATTAAAAAAAAAATTTAAAATGCAGCCACAACAGTTGGCAAATAGAAGTCAATTTGTCAAGACTTACCATACTCAGCTGACTACTCAGCCTCAATCCTGAGCTGTCAAATGCACTAAACCACATTTTGCAGTCAGAAGGTAAAATACAGGTTTCTTTTTTATCCTTCAGATACAATATTTAGTGAAGTTCTGATTTTTAAATTTGTCTTGTTCAATTACTTTGAGTATTTGAACTTTTGAACTGTTTTTCCTAAAATTCACTCGTGATACAACTTATGGGACTGTGACCCACATTCTTTATAATATTGCTCTTTAATATCAGGATTCAAATACTGTAAATGGTGTGCTTTCATTATTTTATGAGTTCAAGTCAGGTAGGTTTTTGTTTCTTCTGGCCATTTTGGTCATGTACTGACATGTATAATGAAATAAATACTCTTGAAATACCATTACAGCATGACACAGTCAGGTTAAATGGTCAAGACTATCTTGAGGGCATGAAATATTGGAAGAAGATTGTGTGAAATTTGCGTATTTTTAACAGTTCACAGCAGACAAGGTATGTGCATTATTAACATTGAGATGTCAAAAAAATGGAAACACATTTCAGAATTATCATGTCAAGATCTTTGGGACAAAAAAATTACCATCAGAGCAGAGGAAAATCAGAAGCATGTTCTGTCTGCTTCATGCTGCTCCCAAAAACTGGCCTCCCTGGTGGTTGAGTATTCCTCTAGCATACAGAAATATTCAGATGGTATTTTGTCAACTATGCTAGCTCATGATTATTCCATCTCCAGTTCAGTTTCAGGTGTGTTGGATGGCTGAAGAAGGACCATGATACCACGCTAGAAGACATTAGTTAATCCAGTTTAACAGAAATTACTCAAGGCTTCTCAATAATGTACTGAATTTTGCTAAACAATGGATGAAGTGGTCACAGTTGAGACAGACCAGGCTGTAAGAGAGGTGCCCACAGACAGAGCAGAGCGGCAGATAAAGGAGAGCACAGATGAAGGAAAGACAGATGAAGGGAAGAAGTCTGGAACAGTCAGGCTTGCTACTACTTCTGCCCCTGGGAAGTGATAGTGAGGGCTGTTGCTGACACAAGAGGTCATGCTACACCACAGCAACTGGCATCTCTAAGCCTCAGCTCATCATTCAGTGTTCCTTCAAAGTGGCCTTGCAACCTCATGTAGCTGTGAAGCTGTTGCCACCTATGAAATGGTAATGGCAGTGCAGTGACAAAGGGGTATAGTATCACTTTGGTTTCCCTTTTTAATACTGCTTAAAAATACTCACTTGCAGAAAGAGTGTATCTTTCTTCATGATATCTCTCCTCATGGTTCTAAAGTGGTAAGGAATTTCCTTTGATTGAGTATAGCCTATTTAGCTGTGGCTTTAAATAGTTCTCATATACCTCTTTATTCTTTGAAAAAAAAGGCCTCATTTCTCAGATTGAAATACTGAGATCAGAAGCTGAGAACTCTTGGATTTCCAACAGTGACGGAAAAAATCCAAGGATCTGGATATGCAGCAATATTTGTGACCTCAGCTTCAGTTAGTGCAATTGTAATATAGCCTTTATATTCATTTCAGTCTGACTCCTGCAAAGACTACCAGTGTTAATGCCAACTACTGTCATGTTGGAAGCATATATGAGCTAGGGTAACTGGGCCCAACTTACTCAACTAAGCCTGTAGTGTCATCTCCCAGAGACATCAAAGATACTTAAATATATTTAAATAGTAGGGGAATAGAAATGCAATTAATTGTGTGTTGAAGCATCCAATGTCTAGATTCCTTAAGATAAAATGTGAAACGTTTTTATTCCTCTACAAAAAAATTGAATTTAGCAATAAATTTATACCATTTAAATGACAACATGAATGTTCCTAATCATATCTTTTAAGACACTTATGCTATTTTAAAAATACATACAGTGTAACTAAAATGTTAAATAAGCACTTGGTAAAGTTTATAGTAAATGAGGCAAGCAAGCTTGCTGTTAATTTTTATTTTTATGAGTTATATCAGATGCATCAATACATACATATTTTATATTGGTATCATTTAAGTTTTGATGAACTGTCACCATAAGAATGGTGCAGGTATTGAGAACATCACAGCTTCAGAAGACTGCAAGTCTAGAAGTGTACTGTATGGTATGTCACATACCTGGAATTCTGGACAGAATAATACCTTGCATCCCACGCAAACAGGTATAAAAATGTGGAGGCCCCACTAAGCTTTTAAAGTTGCACCTGGCCAAAAAAAAAAAAAGAAATTGTCCTTAGGGTAAACATCATTCATTAATAAAAGGAAATATCTTGAAGCCAAGAACTTGCTACTAAACATACAAGCAGAATAGTTACTTAATGAAGAAATTATTTGCCAGCTATGTTTTAAGGTAGGAATTAGCAGTCAAAATGAAAGAATTACAGTGTTTTGCTTTTGGGAGGCACACAATCCCAACCATAGTTAGCATGCTTTTTCTTGCTAGAATTAGATTTTTTCTCAGTAAGATTTGGGGGCTATGTAAGATTTATTATATCTATTTCAGTTAAACACCATATTATTTGTATTTCACGAAGAGCAAAAAATTGCCTTTTCATTCTTTGCCTTAATCAAAATCTAAATATGTCAGTGTAAGCATAGAAAAAGTGGCTGAAGAGAAATAAGCATCAGTTCTTTCCAACCTTGAAATAAGATTCTTTTTTAGCTGTAACTATAGCACAAATAGCTATATTGGAGCTAGTTTCAGCCTAAGTAAGGAAGAGCAGCTATATGATATGTAGAGTTGCACTTAGCCATCCTATTTCACCAATCCTGCACTAATTACTGGCAAAGATGGATAATAGAAAACAGAACCATAGCAAATGGCTTCAGCATCCGGCTGCATTGTCTTACCAGTCCCTCCTGCCTATTTAATTTGGAGCCAAAGCTGCATCTTTTCCTCACAATGCCCTCAGCCTCCTTGGCTGTGACTATCATAAGCAAGCTGAGCTGATGGACACTGAAGATGGAAAGGAGGACAGCAGTTAGCATTGGGTCCTCTTTGAGTGAATGTAGGTGGAAAATTATGGGTCCACAGAAAAAATAAAGGTATGTATTTCTGTGGAAAATAGCTACTTGTTTAGTATGTTTGTTTGTAATGCAAAAGGTTTCTGAGGATATTTGTAGAATTAGGTGACAAGCTGTAATCACTGGTAAAAGAGATAGCCTTCAGGATCCATAGCCACTTAGCTTAGATTTTTAAGGCATTGTACTGTGTCGGTCCTTGTTGTCTACTACAGTCTTTGAAAGGATAGGTGTGACAGACAAGCCTGGAGAAACTGTACAGCTTTCAGACTGGTCTGTCTTTTTTGACCTCCTCATGCTGGACAATCTCACTGGCAACTGAAATTTCAGTTGGCCCATTCCATGTGACAGTAAATGTCTTTTTACTACAGCAGTAACAGGAATCCCTCATGAGGACGTTCCTTTAGGTCTGAAAGGTATCCTACAGACATGAACTGCTATGATGATGTTGAAAATGTGATGCCCAGTACCAAAAGCTGCCTTGTCAAAGCACAACAGATGTGCAGAAGTATGGGGGTGAAAGGTGTGTGGTAGCAATAGGAGAAGGGAGTGAACACAACTGGGCTGGTATGTAGGGAAGTGTGTTGGGGTGAGAACAGTCCCCTTCCATACCTGTGCAAGTGTGGATGCGGATTTATATGTGGAAATGGCTGTGGGGCACTAAACCTAGGATGCACGTGCATAGCCTGGGGCAAGGAGAGGAGTGGGTGGGTTCTGGGAAGGGGGAGCCAGGATTGCTGTTCTTCCCCCTTTCCCCTGCCTCTGACTGCTAGCCCCTCCTGACACATGACACCAATTCTCACAGGAGCTTGCAGCCCAACTTCTCCCTCCTTTCCTCACAGAGCATCCAGCAAAGGGAGAACAACACAGCTGCCAGCAAGCTCAAGGCAGCATCCTGCATCACTGCAGAGCCTTTTGCTTAGGAACACCAAGGTAAGGACCCCCTGTCCTTTCTGTGTCTGTGGGCACCTGGATTCCTGCCCTAAACTGGCAGGAGCTGAGAAATCCTGCAGACATGACTATGTTGGGCACTTCTGTGAAATACTCAGTCCTGGCAGGTTCATTCTTGCCACTGAGCTGCCCTTTTGCTACGCGCTGTGCCTACCTAGGGAGAGCTTGCAGGGAGATGACAATGAAACCAAAGTGGGGCAGGACTGACTTCTCAGTCCCTGAGCAGCCTGTGAGCTCCAGTGTGTCTGTGAGCCCAGGACTAACAGCTCCAGTCCCTGCAGAAGGAAAAAGTCCTATCATCAATAGGTAGCTGTCGAGCCTGGGCTCAGCACTCTGGGTTGCACAGGTACATTCATGCCTGGACAGCACCCTCAGGCCATGGCTGTTCCTCTGTAGGACTGCTGTGGGCAGGGGGGCTGTGATAGCAAGGAGAAGTATGTGTGACCCTCAGTTTTTAAGTAAAGAGAACGAGGCAAAACTTGGATCTGCCTCTGTACCTCCTTCTGTCCATGCCAGCTCTGGAAACAGCAGGTTTAAAAAAACCACCCCTGTGAATTACACTTGGCATTCACACTGAATGCACATGGGTATAGCCAAGGTTAAGGTTTCTGAGAAGTGCTGGTTGTACAAACACTACCTGGCAGTGAGAGAGAACTGAAGTATGTTTGTAAAATGTCTGTCTCCAGTTTGTCATGTGCTAGAACTATAAGCACTATGATAGAAAATCACTCCAGTATGTCTCTGTTTAATAATTATTACATATTTTGGAGAGTATCTTACCAAAAGAAAATCAGCTTATTTTTAGGGGCTACATTTTAAAATACAGCTTGCTAAACAACCTGCTAAAGTAAAATTGAATAATGTTTTATTGTCCTCGTACTGCTGTACTCCTGTATTAGTATTTGTGTTGTTTAGGAAACAGAAACCAAACAAATGATGTTCTTCAGATTCTGGTGGATTTTGTGGATACTTGAACACCACAAGTTTTTAGCAGAAAATCTCTGGGAAGAAAAAAGATACGGATTGAGAAGACCAAAACCTAAACAGATTCTGTCAAATACTGTTGAAAATTATCCCAGGCCAAGTGATCAAGGTAAATATTGTAATTTTTGAAGAAGTGTGGGTTTTTTCTCTCATTCATTTGGCTTCTGCACTACATGGCTAACTTGCCCTCTACAATACTGCTTATAATCAGCCAGGCTTGCTTGCCTCATCTTACATTTTCACATGCATTATTTTTTCATTTTTATCTTTTCCCTCCCATCTGTTCCCTCCCTTTTTGTGTATTTCAGAAAAGGAGATTACTTCTGTTTTTTTTTGTGATATGGCTGATAGCCTGTTACTGCCACAAGAATAATATAACTGTATTTCTATAGAAGTAATGTCATCAGTAGTTCAGAAAATTAATACTCTACAGATCCTGGTTTTGGAAACTTTTATGTCACTGGAGGCGAGTGTCAGTACCAGGGACAAAATCTACCTCTGTCACATTCGAGTGTCTTATTCAGTAAGACTTATTTTCCTGTAGATGACAGGATCCCAGTCCTCATCCTGGTAGGATATTCAGTGAAATGCCAGGCAAGAGGACAGAATGAATGTATAAAACCACTACAACATTCCTCATTTCATACTACAGGACATCACCTCACCTTCCATTTCTTATTCCTTGGGGCACCTGTTACGGAGCAAATTCCTCAGCCTCTATAAGCTCTATCTTCATGAAGGTCTCACATTTGTGATCACAGATGTTTTCAAAAATTTCCATAACTGCACTCCCACTTCTGAAGCCTAAAATACATGTAAGGGTAGAATGAGATTTAGTATGCAATCACTCCACTCACCTACTTACCTATTTATTCTAGATGAAGACTGCATTCTGGAAATTACTTTTTTATTGGACAGCTCCGAAAGTGCTAAGGACTATAATCATGAACAGCAGAAAAAATTTGTACTGGAAACAGTAGACAGAATGAAAAGTCTGCAGCTTAGTTCTGGACGTACCCTTAGCTGGAGGATGGCCTTACTTCAGTACAGCAGCACTGTTTTCATAGAGCAAACTTTCCATGACTGGAAAGGTCCTGAAGCATTCAAATCCCACATTGCTCCCATCTCCTACATAGGTCATGGCACCTACACAACTTATGCTATAACTAACCTCACACAACTCTACATGACTGAAGGGACTCTGGGTAGTGTGAAAGTAGCTGTACTCTTCACTGATGGAGTGGACCATCCAAGAAACCCAGATATTTTTGCAGCTACAGCTGATGCTAAACACCAAGGAATTGTATTTTTCATGATGGGAATGACCAGAGTGGCTGAGGAGATTAGCAATGCTGCCAAGCTCCGGCTCCTGGCCAGTGTCCCAGCATCCAGGTTCGTTTTCAACCTCCAGGAGAAAGAAACTGTGGAGAAGGTTCTCAAAGAAATGGTATGTATGAGAAAGAATTTGAAATAGGTATAAGAACATACATATATATATATATATATATATAAAATGATCCTATTTCCAGTGTTTTGAAGTGCTTATGCTATTGAAGAAACCTGTACTTTTTACAGGTTAAAGCAGACCACTTATTAATAAGACCACTGTGCCAAAGCACACGTTTTCTTTCTCTCCCCACCATTCAGATCTTGGCAGCCAAAATATTTGAAGTTGGTAATTGAATTAACCTTAGAGACCTGTTGTGAAGTTATTTTCATATCTGTTTTTCCTCCTAACAAAGATATTTTAAACCTCTTTTCTTAAAAAAATAACCAATTTTTGACATCCTAATTCTTTCCTCAGTAGCAAGTAGGAATGTACCAAAAAAAGATGCAGGTCTTGCCAAAGTGAAAATAAATTTGTAGACCTTAATGGTGATATGTCAATTTAGATAAAATCTGAACTTGGCCATACACATCTTTAAATTACCATGGAAGACCTACCACATAATCAAGAGGAAATGTGTAAATTGAGCTTGAAGTTTTGCTTGGGTACCTCTTTTCTGCATGTGAACTTAATTTATAAAAAACATTCCCTGTCAAGTATGAAGAATAGTGCCATCCTCTAGCCTATAAATCTGATGACACAAGCTGTGGATGAAGTACTGGTCTGAGCACTCACAGATATAGAAAATAGAACTATCAGTAACAACCTGGAGACTTCTGCAGTGAAGCTGACACCTAAGTGATCTCATACTGGCCTAGAGCATTAACACAAGCTGGCCTTCCTGTCTGTCTGTCCTTCACTCTGACAGCATGCCACTCTGCATATCGCCCTTCCCATCTTCTCTGGTATTGCCATTGCTTTCTCTATCACCGCAACCACCTCTCAAGTGACCAAACACACTTATTATACCTGTTTCAAACAGGCAGCCATCATCAGGTGCCTTCTTTTGAGAACATGGCTGCTGTCTGGTTTAAATAATGGCTTTGGCATAATTATATGTGCATACATGTGAATTTTTGAGATGTGTATTGCATTACTGCTCATCAACACACTTAGGTCCTCTCAAGAGACTGTATCAGTTGTGAAAAGTGGGACGAATGCATTGTATGTGGGTGTTTCAGCTGTAGAGATCTAAAGTAACAGACCTAATTCGATGCTGATAATGTCATGTGATCACTGTCAAAATCAAATCTTTTCTAAGGTATTCTTACTGTTCTCATTTTGTGTGTGCTTAGCAGTATACATAGAAGAGCTTCCTATTTTCTCAAGTGTGGAGTATGTATCATTCACTTCTACTAGAGAGCTGGTGCTGTTCAGCACTCTGGAAACAGTGTAGTTTCTGGGTTCATTGTTCCCGTATACCTAGCTAATTATGTTGTTTAAGGTCTTTTTACCACTGTAATTTTAGAAAATTATGGCTGGACAGAAGAGTCAGTGATCTGTGCAGTCGACAGTCTATAATAGGAATTGAAAATATTTAAATTATTTTTTTTAAATGGAGAAATTGCTAGAATATTTCTCAGAAATAAATGCTTAATTAATATTAGTTAATAAGTTAATTGCATCATTTCATTACTTAGCTGCTGAAGCAATTTATTTTAACATCTCTCAGTCTCCTTCCTGTAGATCTGGATTATTATTCTAAGTTTCTAATGTTGTTTTGAATATCTGTTTTTGCAGAAAGATCTGTCCGAGGAAGAGGTAAGTTGTTTTTTTTTTCTCTGCACAGAACTACTGCTTAATATAGACAATTATATGGAAACATAATTCAAGAAAACTGATAGCTCAGGAAGTTGGTTAAATATTTAGTCTAATGGGATTGCCTTCAAGTAAAACATGCTTTTGTATTTGCAGGACAGAGCTTTAATTTGCTATCCTAATGTCATTTACTTTCCCTCCTTATTTTCAAAGTTGAAAAAGAATAATGTGTGAGTATTCAAGTTAGCAAGAATTTGCTGATATGTCTCGGCACATCATCCAACAGACTCATGGGATAAGGAAACATGAGACAGAGCTTAATGTGGTGCCGTTCTAGCTCTTAATGCTCTTCCCATGTAATAAATGTTAAAAAAAAGGGAAGGAACTCAGAACAAAGCCCCACCTTGCTTGCACTTTTCCAGTTTGTCCACACTGTGTCACCCTGACTGCAGGCATTGGTAGGCCTCACTGACATTTATGGGGGGAATAAAGTTAGTTTTCTTTTTAAAGATGTTACTCCTACTTAGGTACAGTCATCTCAGGCAAAGACTCTTCTGTTGGGCAGCTCAAGGAAACTGCTAGATATTACGAGTGCTTGCAAAACTTGAAGCATTTTATTTTTCACTCATTGCCACTGGCATGTTGATTTTTCTCTGTCAAAATAAATCTTGAAGTAATAAGACATTCAGTGTTATCCTTGGAAAACGTATTGTTACTAATTGGGATATTCAGATAAAAATTGGATTTAAACCCTTCACATCTAGACATCTCCAAGCTGAGTGGAGGTTTAATAAATAATAAAACCAAAAATAAAAACAACTTTCCTATTTCTCCTCCAAAAATAACCCCAGTATCTGTAATAATTCTGTATTATGTAATGGTTTTAAAGTTTCAAAAATAATCTAAAAATCACATGACTACATACCATAATGATGTCTGACTGGGACACATGATGGTAGAGATGACAGAAGAAAAAGAAAGATTAGGAACTATTATAATGAATTGGATTAACTAGATAAAGATCCATAACATGTTTTGCTTATAGACCAAGCTAGATCTAAACTATGATCTACATATAGTGGAGTAAAGTGGAAAAAGGATGGAAGATGTTTCCTTACCTCATTGTCTTGACTATCTCTACAGTGACTAGTAATCAAAACAAATTTACAGTCATAGACACAGCATACCAATAAATCGACCTTATGAAGAGTTTGGAGATAAAGCCATTATCGAGATTATTGAAATTTCAGGAATAAGAATGATACAAATTTTTGGATAGAGTATAGGAGACCATATTCCTGATGAGTGATAAACTGACAGTTAAAAGATTTCTGTAAAACATGTAAATATAACTGGCTTTTTGTCATTATTGGTGTACTCAGACTAGCCATACAGTAACTTAAAAGCAGGGTTCATTTGTTTTCTAACTCTATTAAAATGTACTGATTTGGACTATTTTTATTCAAAGTGTCCCCAGGCTGCTATATGTAACTGTGAGAAGGGGGAAAGAGGCCCTCCTGGCCCTGCTGTAAGTAGCTGTCATTTCTGAAATAACTGATATACAGTATAAATCAAGATTTATTTCATTGTTCGAATTTTTTTAGGAAATCATTTGAACCTGAATCCTGAGACAACAGAAGTTCAATGTTTAATACATAGTCCTCCATATTTACATTGCATGGAAATGTCACACAAGTGGGAAATGCACAGAGAGACTTGAGAATGCCATGAGACTCCCTCTGAAAAAAAGAACAGTGTGATGTGGTGAGGCTCTCCTTTTAGCCACAGCAGTTTAAAAGGCAGGAAGGAGCAAATTTCCTGTGTGGAACAATAATTCACCTGTCACAATCAACCAGGCCAGGTGGATCTAACTAGCCCTAAATCAAACATGTTTATCTGAAAAGCTCTCTGAAAGCAAGAGAGAGAGCAAGAGGCTGAAGCATTAGGAACAACTGAGACAACAGACTTGTAAAGAAGGTAAAATAGACCGGACTTCTTTCAGAATAGTATTAGAACTAGAACCCCTAAGCAAATCTAGGGGATTGCTTCATGCATGGTTTGGTGATCTGAACTGCAGGGTTTATGTTTCAAAAAAACTCCCAGAGCTGAATGGTCTGATATTATATCCCTAACATTGAACTAAAGCACCAGAGTACCTTACAGCCCTTGCCCAAGGTGAAGGTACAGTGTCAGAGTTCTGTTTCAAACAGAACCCTAAAGATCTGCCCATCCTCATCCTTTTGACATGAACATCCTACATATACATGAACAGAAATACACACTGGGTTTATCCTGCACAGTCCAGCACACTTTAATTGCAAACATAGCCTCTTGTGTGCAAACAGTAGTTTTGTTTGGGTTATTCATGTCTTGGAGAGTGCAAGTACCTCTTAAACAAAAGCATACACCTCAAAGAGTTCAAAAGGAAGCAAAATACCCACTTGGCAAGCTGGGTAGCTACAAAAACATCTGATCACCTCTTTTCTTCCAATGAGACCTGCACAATTTTTGTTTACATCAAAGACAAAAGAGAAAAATGGCTGTCTATTGAGTTGACCCTGCTGCTCCCAGAAATTCAAGTTCAAGGTTATGGTAAATGCAGAGATTTTTAACAATAAATCTACAGGAAGCAAATATCTTAAACATATTTTTTAAATTGTGTCTATATTGTAAAATAAAATTATGTGACTAACATAAGAATTTTATTTTGTTCATTTCAGGGTAAAAAGGGTCGTACTGGGGATGAAGGAGCTCCAGGCCTGAAAGGAGCAAAGGTGATGTGATTTTTCAGATTTAGGAGAAAGATTTCATACTTCATTAATATGGAAAGACTATCCTAATAGTGCCCATGCACTTTCCACCTGTGAATTTCTTAAACTTCATCTACCCTCTCTTTCTGTAGTAAAGACTAAGATCCTTTACAAATTAAAATCTTATATCTAATGTATAAAATCATCAGTGTAAAATAAGGGAGCTGGTATACTTCCGGTATTGCACTGAGATATCTACTCAGATAATCAGGACAATACTAGCTTATCCTGATTTCATTGATCTTGATGTTGGATTATTCATAGGGGGAGCCAGGTCTTAATGGAATCCCAGGACGAGATGGAATAGAGGTAAAAAAATATTTTTACTCCTTCTTCTCCAATGAGCAGTGTTCCTTCATGGTAAAACACCACTTTTTAAAAAAAAATGTTTAATTATAATAGCAAATTTCAATTCTAGTTTACCTGCTAATGATTCATTAACACTAGAAGAACTAAAAACATTATCATTGCTTAAAGAAAGGGAACAATTCCTTCTTACAGGAGTTGATCTAGAAAATACTCTAATAATACATAATCTGCTTTTACATCATCAAAATCCCAGTCTAAAATGATACTTGTTTACATGTATAACAGCATCTATCATGACCAGTAGATGCAGTATTTAGAGTCATATCGACATGTTTATCAGAGATCACCTTTTCTACCTAATTGTTCATTATAACCTGAAATGCTGTTTTTCTAGAGATTAGAATGTTAATAGCACCAATACTTACATTCAGGTTATATCTCCTCACAACCTGCTTTGCTTTTTTATTTTTCCAGGGGAAATCTGGATATAAAGGAGAGAAGGTACTACTTTTAGTCAGAATTTCTGCTTACATACAGATATTTGATGTTGTATTTATTTATTATGTATAGAGCCATATTTCTTATAAATACTAATCATGAACAATAACATCCTCTTACCAGCTGCTGCACAAGCTCTAATAGATATGTCCTTTCCCCAATGAACTTACAGCACAATTGCTATAATATGTCATGAATAGAATAACATTTAGTTTTTCAACTAAACCACCCAAAGAGTAAGGATTATATGCTCAATATGCCTCATAAATATTTATTCCTGTTCCTTTCCAGGGTGAAAGAGGTGAATGTGGAATTCCAGGGATAAAAGGAGACAGAGTAAGTAGCCACAGAGTTGTTATGCTTTCAGGAAACACTGTTAAAATACAGAAAAACTACAATTCCCTGAATAACAATCATGGTGGTAGACTTAAATCAAATATTAATTCTAAGGCTGAGGGAAAGTAACAGCTGACAGTTTTAAAAAATGAAGTGAGCAAGGATACCATTTTCAGTAACTTTCTCAGTTGCTTCTACAGTTTCATGTGATTCCTCTTAAGGCCCAAGCCTAAACCTCTTTATAACAATGACAGAACTCTACTTGAATTAAACAGAGGTAGAAGGCTTGAAGTAGTAAGCAAAGGGAATGAGAGGTGAAAATCGAGGTTTCTAAAACTGATCTTCAAGATTTGGTGTATAATTGCTGTGAATATTTTAAATGAAACAAACAGAGTTTAATCCTGGATTACTGGTCCTTGATAATTAACTGTGTTCATTCTTACTCTGTATTCTGATTGCCACAGTCCATTTTAAAAATATTTATTCAATACTTGCTGGCTGCTGAGCTTCTCTTGGTTTTATTTTAGTGTAAAGATATCTAAATAAGACACCTTAGTAAAAAGTAATCTAAAAGTGGTTTTGAACAAATCTAAATAAACATAAATATATCCTTTTTTTCACTTGCCTTTCAGGGTCCTGAAGGCCCAGTAGGCCCCAGAGGAACAAGAGGGCTACAGGTAAAAAACAAAACAAAAAAATAAAAGCAACAATACCTGGTTCCCTGGGACTCAAAGCTCTGAAATAATATCATACCACAACTGTCATGGAATCTTTGAGTCACTGAGTTCAAGGCATCCAAAATCTATCTTCTTAAACAGTAAAAGTAACAAGAGTTTGGAGGAGCAGTCTAGACAAATAAATCATCCTTATAATTCATTCAGTCTCAAAGACCACTGCAAATACAGTTCCATAAAAACAAAATCACTCGTTTCCCATTCAGTGTCTTAACTAATTCATTATCTCACAGAAGTACATGGAAACACTTTACTCTCGTTTCATCTCAATACTCTTGGCCTGAAGGCCAAGATTAGCCCATCATAGATGTTTCAGTAAATCTTGACTATAAAATAGATTTAATTATATTCAAATAAAGGGAGAGCCAGTTTCTCTCCTCCAATTACCAGACCCAGCTCCAGCTGAGTTGAGTAGCTGAATCTATACATGCATCAGAAAGCAAAGCTTCAGTTCTGAAATGTTTGTAATTTATATTTTCATGCAGACTACAGCAAATTAGAGATTGGTTTTCAAGCCACCATTGTTCTGAAAGCTTGAAAAATCTCATTAAAACCACTCTTGTTTTAATAGGGTCCACAAGGACAATCTGGAGATCAAGGGCCTGAAGGCCTGCAAGGATCAAAGGCAAGAACTGCATTATTTCTTCTCTTTCTTAATGTTAAAAGGTATTAACACAGCCTCACAACAATAATGCTTTTATCCTTATACACCATACGCTTCTTGTAGGGGATGCAGTTTAATGTGACATTGCTAGCAAATCATATATTCTTTGTATTCTACAAGGTTCCTAAGAAAGGTCTTCACCTGCTCTTTGTATTGGATTCAGGTCCAAATCACACAACAGTCTTTTCTCACAAACAGTTAAAATATGGCAGCATCACAGAATATTACTTAGCAGCAGTGTAGCATTGCATTTCTTCAGTTTTCAATTTAAAACTTCTTTTTTCCCTAGGTGCCAAGTAGGAATTCTGTTTGGGATCTCAAACAAACTTTTCTCTTAAAACTGTACATTCTCAAGAAGAATTCTATAGCTCAGAATTAGTACTCCCACTGTTTACTGATGCTCAGCAGAAGATATCTAAAAGTCATGAGGATGAGTGCAATTCAGGACACAGCCTTGCAATGGGCCCTCTGAAGGTGGGCCACAGAAATCACCCAGTGCTTCACTGCAAGATCCAGTCCCCTTTGTAAACATAAAATTTTTTTTTTTGCATTTGTTTGAAAAACATATGATTTACATTTATTAAATCCATAAGATTTGCTGGGTCTACTTCTCACTTACTCCACTGTAAATTCCAGGTATACCAATGGACATTACTTCATTCTGTGTTTCTGTCATGACTTAATATATTTATCATAGTAGTTTAATGGAGGATGCAAATATTACTGGGTATTATAGACAACTTTGGGAACTGTTTTAACCTCATTAAGAGAGACCACAGTTTTGCTTCTCCGAAAAACCTTAAGCCGAGTAATTCAGCCAAAGCTAATGGGTTCTTCAGCTACTGAACGGAGTACTGTGGAGAAAATTTTCAAAATAAGTTTATAAAGGACATTATCTATTTTGATATCCCTCTTGTTATCTCCTTTGCACCATATTTAGAGCACCTGCTAGCCAACAGTGAAGCATGGAGCAGTTGGGTGTCAAAACTTATATCCCACATGAAATGAAACATTTTTCCTTTTGTTTAATCTGGTATCACTTTGTACAGGAAATATCTATAGTCTTAATAAAAGGAATTTCAAAGCATTGAAAGAGTGAACAGATGAAGTACTGTATAAGACAATTCCAATGGGCTGAAATTCAGGATATGCAAAAAATGAACTTATAAACTGAGTTAAACTGATTTCCCTAGATACCAATTTATAAACAGAATTGTTTCTTTTTTCATTCCTTGAAAAGGGTGAAAGAGGTCTCCCTGGGCCACCTGGCTTGCCTGGAGAGACTGGAATAGGACTGCCGGGCCCAAAGGTACAAACATCTCTCATCTTCTATATTGCATGTATTGTGGGATAAGAACGAAGACCAAGACAGCTGAGATAATTTACTTGCTGGTACATGAGAAACTTCAAGCCCCCAAATGCTGTTTTTATGGTACCAGAAAGGTATTTTGTATGTTGATCAAAACTGGGAAAAAAAAGTACATTTTAAGTATGTACTTTGAAGGACTTTTTTACAGTAGTTCTTACACCTGACATAACTCAATCCAAGCAGTGTATGGCTGAGTAAAAATGCATACATGGTCTTAAACAAAAATTATCCTGTGAGAAACAGGCTTGTTGGTTTGGATGACTGGCATAACAGAAACACTATGACAGAAATACTGACTTCTTGGAAAAGGACAATAAGTGATACATAACGTACTAGGAATATGATGAGAAAACTGGTTTGATTCAGCATTGTCTTCTCTCAAATGTAGAATTCAGGCTGTCCCCTAATGCTGTGAAACTGCAGCAGTTCAATGTCTGTTTGGCCTTGCATGCTGTATGACTGTGAGGACACACAGATTTTCTCTGTTATTCCTGTATTCTCCTACATCAAGTATTTCAAGCACAGAATAGATGATGAGTTGTTATATGCTGCAAACATACAGATACCTAAACCAGGCATTTTCAAAATACATCTTTGTTTGAAGGGTGACACCGGTTTGACAGGAAGACCAGGCCCCATTGGCCCACCTGGAGTTGGTGAGCCAGGACTTATGGTATGTCTATTTTTTATTTGGTGAGAGGGAAGCAGGACAAAAAGGAAAAATTCTTAGTGCTTCCCTGTTAAAAGGAATATATGTGTGTTAAATGATACCATCTCTTTTCTTTCTTCCACTAGTTCTCAGTCTCATACATACTACATTGTCTGACTTTCATTTCTCTCAATACACTGGAAATGTTTCCAATTCCTTAACTTTTCTAATTATCTTAGTCTCCAAAGCAGATAGGAGAAAATAACATCTTATGCAAAATCACATAAATATTTAAATAAAACTGTCCCCTGAAAGATTCAAATCCACATGTGGTAATTTTGAAGTTAACTGCTTTTCAGTATCATTAGAGCATTAATATCAGCATGACTTTGAAGGAGAAACTCCATTTCAGCCACTGTTACATTAGAAACAATCATACCTAAAAAACCTCCATAAAGACTTTCAGATTGTGTAAGCGGTCCCAGGTAACAATTTCACCAGTATTACTTTCACTAGTGATAGCAGAGGGAAAAATAAACCATCTGGCTTCCAGAACTTATAATAGGTTTGGCTCTGAAGTCTCTTCCTTCTCTTCTTTGCCTTGCTCCTCGTTGTAGTTGTAAACTCAACCTCCTTGTGGTGATTCAGAAAATCAGTACACCAATTTTATAGGTTTGGGGTTTTTTTCAAAGCATCATCACTTTTTACTGAGCTATTTCCAATACAGCAGACTCAAATTAATTTCTTATCAGCTAGATGAAAGACCCCTAGTGCGACCATGAGGGAGATTTTGTGCAATTTTTTCACAAGTAGCTTTTCCCCATTGACAAGGAAAGATTTGTAATAATCATTTCAAAAGATGTGCTCCATGAAAAACAGAAAGGTAGTTTGATAACTGAACTGACTGATCTCAAACCTGCTCGAAAATACACTACTGGAGAGGAGTGAGTTCTTGTTGAAGAACCCAAAGAAAAAAGCATTACTAATAAGGCCACTGGTGACAGTCAAAGTGGGGCAGTAATGCTTCCTGAATCTCTTCAATAACAGCATAGAGAGAAGAGCCACTTTGTGGGGCAACAGGTGCCTGTGATGTGCAACTTTGTTAGCCACAACAGCCATACTGGTATAACAAGAGATTCTGATTTAAAAAAATACACTCAAGGTGTGTTTTAAATTTAGTTTAAAGTGTATTTACTTCAAAAGAGTTCTCTTTTTGTGGCTGAATGCAGTGTAATTATCTTCACCTAAGAATTAGGCATAATTCTAAAGCTCTAAGCAGAAGCATATTTAGGCTATGCAGAGCCAAATCTACCTGCATTCTGTGATGTGTGTGTAATCTCAAGTAATAAATAAGAGTTAAAAAAACAGTTGTGGGAAACCACTGTGAATTAGGCTTAATATGCACAGGTTTTGTACTTGCATTTAGTGAAAATTTTAGTTGTCTTACCTGCCCCTTGTGCTCCTGTCAGATCTACTTTCAAAAAGAGAAGGGCATGCTATATTCTCTTCACCAATTACAGTCAAATATCTCTACAGCTACATCTTCTTCAGTAGTACCCTGCACAGTCTTTCATCTGATTCTCCCTGTCTCTCATGAATATATATATTAATAAGGATTAGTAACAATTCGTAAACCAAACTAAAGTTTATGGAGTGTTGATTTCAAAAGTATAAGAAATAGGAATTTCAGCTACATAACACGTGATTCATAAGTAAACAGAAAAGTAAAACCGTCTGCCTTGTTATTGCTGCAGGCCAGAATGTTTGTCATTTATTCACTATGAATATCGTATTACTGTATTATTTTTAACAGGTTATAACTACACCATTTATAGACATGCTTAAAACTGACGATGACATAGAACACACTGCTGTTGATTTGAGTGATTAATACATATTCTAGGCCATTTTAAACTTATGTTAACAGGGGCCTCAAGGACCACAAGGTGTTCAAGGAGAAAGAGGTTCACCAGGAGAAGGGCTTCCAGGAGCTAAGGTACAGCAGTTGAAGGGTTTTAAGACCAGAGCAGCACCATTAAATGAGTGCATGCCAAAACAAGTCCATAGCAGGCATGGGAATCTGAGAAAGTAGCTTGTAAATTAATACAAAAATTTGGCATCAATTCACCTGATACATTTTCACAGAATTCAGTTGGTCCAAACATGACTTCTAGGCACAGCTAGCCTTTGGGGACTGTAAAGCTGATATTTAATTCACCTGATGCTTGATTTGTGGGATCTAAGCCCGGAAAGAATTCCAGCTATCATTTTAAAACAGCCTCAAGCATCCAACTAAATAAAATATTAAAGAAGTGATTCCTAGATGAAAAACTTAGCTTTTTGTTGTTGCTTTTTTTCTAAATCCCGATATAGAGAGAGATCTTTACGGTTACTAAAGACAGACTTCTAAGCTTAAATACCTCCGCCACTGACTTATGTATTTTAGCAAAAGTTGGAAATCAGTTTATGGGAAAAGAAAGCTGCTGTTACTGACTTACAGATCCAGTGGAAGTAATGGCAGTAGTAGTTGCACCTACATGGATGGAGTCACTAGACCCACTGCTAGATCCTTTTGCTGCCCGCCAAAAAACAACTCCCAGGCTGAGTTGTCACTTTGACCTTTGCTTACAATAACAAAGTGACACAGCTTGTACATGAGCTAAATATATAACTAAATGGTTCACTCATTTTTATGCATGCACCAAGGCAATTTTGGTTGGAAAACAATAAAAAATTGTTCTGCAGATGCAGGCCCCAACTGTCCCTTTACTAAAAATCTTAGGATTTTTGCTTAGTACAACATTGTAGTCAGCTAGGTTTAAATCTGACTGCTGCTAACAACATAATATCTTCAAACATCCAGTATATATTTTATGATGAATTATATGAATTGTCTACCCTCATTGTTGATGGCTTGTATTTGCTTAGCAGATCTAATGCATGAAAACAAACAAAAAAACTATTTGAAGAAAATGCATTTGGAAATCACTCCATTGCCACTGAAATACCAATTCATGTGGCAAGAAACGCTACAACTAATTAGTAAAGCACAGCAACAATACACAGTGGGAACAAGTATAGAAGAATGCATAATCTAACCAAAACTATTGAGCAATTGAGATAGGCAGAATAAAATAATCAAAGTAGAATTCTGCCAGCATTATTGAAACTCTTGATTCTATAAAAAATGTACTACTTTTTACTGCCAGGTCTGACCTGGAGCCAAGCATGTATCAACAGAGCCTGTATGTATCTCTAATCCTATTTATGGCTGCCAATTTTGTCAGCTCTCTGGTTTTAATCACATTCTAAACATGTGATTTGTTAATCTAAAGCAAATTTTACAGTTGCCTTCCTTAGACTGTTTTTACTACAAGCTCACGCTTTAGTAAAAAGGAAAATGAAGGCAGGTGTTCTGAAGCATCAGGAGTAAAGAATGTTAATTTAAACAGAAATCCACATAATGTATTTCAGTCAAAGTTAAAATGATGGAATTGGTTACTAGGGAGAGAAAAGACCTGTCTGAGGCATAACTTTTTTGCCTTGGGTGATTCTGTGATAATTTACACAAGCTAACCATCTGTCTCTACTTGCTTTATTAACAGAAGTACAAGAAAGCACAATATTTGTGTCCTTATTAGTAATCTGCATTTTCCTCAAGACACCCTTTTATAAATAAACATTTAGAAAGACAATGACATTTACAAATAGACTTCTACAACAATGCAGTTTGGCCTGGTCTTTATTTTGGCAAAATTCTTAGTGAGAGACATATCCTCACTGCCACATTTTAATGAGATTAACCCACAAGACAAATAAGCAGAATTCAGCTTTCAGTTAGTTTCATTACTCAGCCCTGCTGACATTTAAATCAGTTGTGGCTTTGCCATTGATTTGAGAGGAAGCAGGACAAGACCTTAAGCAATCGAGGTGGGCAGAGATAAAAAGAAGCTTGTTCAGCTCTTTCATCAGCAATTTCAAACTGCAGAGCAAGCTCATTTGAAAAGATGACCTCTTTGGTATCCTGGAAAACAGATCCAGGAGCTATTTGCTGGTTCTTCTTGTTTTGTTTTTCACAATGACAGAGGAAACAGTGTCTCTAGTTACTTCAGAGAGAACAGCTGTGTGTTTCTACAGTTAACGTATTTTTTTCATGCAGGGAGACCGTGGTTTTGATGGACCAAAAGGTCCTCGTGGACTTCCAGGCATCAGCATAAAAGGCGAAAAGGTGAGCAGTAAATACACCAGGGGATTAACAAAGTGTCAATAAATCTACATAACGCAGGGAATACAGTGTTGATATTCACTACAAAAGGTGTAATGAGGCAAGGAAACCATAATAGGCCCTGGATAATAAGGTATTTTGTAGAGAGATTTATGCCAAATAAACTCTCCCAACCTACTTTAATATCTCTTCATATTAAAATAGGAAACGTTAAAAATAGCATCTGATTCTATGGGAAAGTTAAGGTTGAGAAAGGGAAAAAGAGACTAGCAGTTTTTTGCAACAGAACCAGCAGGGAGTAAATACATATATGAAAGACAGAAGGTCAGATCCCCAGCTTCACTGACTTAAGGAGAGATTAAGTCAACAGGTACTAGCATGGGAACTGTCCCAGATGGTTTCTGTATCTTTACACAACTAAGCAATTGTACTTTGTTTGCCAGGGTGAATTTGGTCCTCCTGGTTTACCTGGGCCCATTGGATTACCTGGAATTGGAATTCAAGGAGAGAAGGTGCAGTTTTTACTTCCCCCTCACCCCACACTTAAATGTGTAGTAACAGAGAATATTTTATTTTAAATAATTATTTAACTAAACTTTTCAGGGAGTGGAGGGCCCAAAAGGACCACCTGGCTCTAGAGGGCTACCAGGACAGGGACTACCTGGACCAAAGGTTAGGGAATTTTCTGAAGTATAAGCTACTGTGCTGTTTTGACTGTTATGCTTCCTGATTAAGAAATGGTCTGTCTCTATCCTTACGCTTGTTAAAGTGCTGAATTCCAATCTAAGTATTGACATAGCTGCAGGAAATTATTTTCTTTATTAATATTATTAAACTGTACAGCAGATCCTACACCACTGAAAAGCCTTGATAAACCAATGCCATAGTTATCTATTTAAATTTTGGCTTAGCTCACCACAGCACCTTTGAGGTACAACATATCAGACAGTGAACCACACTTTGTCCAGTATGTTTCCACAGAAAGGGTTGTCTGCCTTGAACTTGCAGTTTCATCATATCAGATGCGGGTGCAATGAATCAATTCCAAAAAGTAGTTGCACTTAACACAGAACACCACCAAAATTTCAGTACCATCTTTTATCCTCACTGGACTATTTCCATTCCATAAAAATACATACATACCTTACAGATTGTCTGACTTCCTTGTTACTTCTGCTGCCTGTTGTCTCACCTGACTGTATATTTATTGTATCCAGCAGTTAAGAATGGTCTAAGGTATAATGAAGACTACCTTTGACAAAGGAAAACTGTCAGAATAATTTAGCCTTGACTAATTTGCAAAATACAGAACTGTTAATGAAAGATGTCATCCTTGAAGTGTTTGGAATGGAGATTTTAAATGATTTTCTGAAAGAGATGACAGATAAAGTTCTGAAGCATAATATAAAGGAACTAGAAGTATAAGTAGGTCAAGGGTCCATGCCAGGTGAAGTATTTTGCAGCACCAGAGATCACCTTGTACATTTTCAATGATTGTTCGGGGATATGCTTTACCACTGGTGAAAAGACAAAGAAGGATGAATTGTCTGTGGGTGCCAGATATGCTCCTGAAATATCAGCTACTTTGGCGGGAAACATTCACAGGGATGTATAACTATAGATTTACATCATTAATCATTTTCTCTAACAACTTTTTGGTGACAGTTCAAAATATGCTGCCAACTCCCAATCTTTGTGACAAAGGGTTCAACACATCATACTAAAGACAGTATCACACTAATCTTTCTTTAAATATAAGCAACCAAGAATATGCTTTTATATTTTTTGCCATGATAACACTATTAAAAAATAATTCTACTTAAGGGTGAACAAGGCTTGCCAGGAGAGACTGGAGTGCCAGGAGAAAGAGGTGGTGGAGAACCTGGTTCTAAGGTACATTGTTACTGGAGGAATTATTTTATTTATTTATTTGGATTTGAAATTTGTGTTTCCTGAGTATCCTTTCTGTAGGCACTTAAAAATAGGTTTAGAAATAAAATTTACATTCTTAGTCTTTAAAATTTTTAACACAGACTTTCAATAACCTCCAGAAATGGGAACATTTGAAATACGCCAGTTCTGTACAAAAGCAGTAAGATTTATTGTGACTGAAAATTTCCGCATGCTAGGCCCATGCTCCAGTCAGTGTTGCATACAGCTCACCTTCGGTTCTGTCCAGAAAACCATCCAGAATATTAAATAGTTGCCAGAACTCGCCATCCCCAGCATAAACTAAGCTATAGCCACTGCTGGTAAAAAAAAGCACTGAACCATGGTTATTGTGCTACTCCTTCCCTTTCCACACAGGATAGGATATAAACAGAGCAGCAGCTACAGCCCCTCACAACCTTCACATGGGAAACAAGCTGTGCTACTAGACAGAAAGCACACTTGCTTAGAGAAGAGGAAGCTGTAACCAGATTATTTTAGTGCTAAAGTGACCAAGATATTAACCAGTCCCTATATCATTAACAGCCAGATTAACACAAAATATGGGAATAGATGAAAAAGTATTTGTGTGATAGTGGAAAGTCACAGGGCTCTCCTGGTTTTACTCTTTTGTTAGAGATTTGGGACAGGGGTTGAAAAATGAAAGAAATTGTTCAATTTCTTTAATTCCACAAAATATGGTAATATTGAGGGAACCCATTTGACCCTAAATGATCCCATTTCATCTAAAACCAGGTCGGGCTCTTGAACCTTAAATAAATAGGCTAATGACAATTCCACTGCCATTAATAGATTTGCACTGATATTCACCAGCAATATATCAATCATTATGTCACAGTCAGCTCTATCTGATATTTACTTCAAATGCTGCCACTAAATGAAAAGATGGCACTATTTTTTTAAGAATCAGCTGCAGCATTAATAGCTAATAATATTAATTGCATACAGAAAATGCACAGTTCAAACAATCAGATGTGGGATAGTTCCAGATACATGAGAGTTGTCTTTATAAAAAAATGCAAGATATGGGTTTATACACATAAATGTTTGCTATAAATATATATACAGTTTAGTAAATGTTTTTAAAGAGATTTCCTTGATTCGGAGACAGAATAGTACCAAGTCTGCATTTAATAGAAATACTTACTTTTTATTGATATCAGGGCGAGCCAGGCCCTTCAGGACTGGCAGGTCTGCCTGGTCTTCCAGGAGAAGATGGTGCTCCTGGACAAAAGGTTGGTTCATTTCTGTCTGCAGTCCACCTGCTCCCCACCAAGCGTTCCTACTGCTCTCCCTGTACTGCTACCCAAACCTAGAAAAGAGTGTTCATGGACAAGGGGGAAAGTAGCACAGTGAAAAAAATTCTGTTTCAAACATATTTTTTTAGGGAAAACTTTTCGGGGGTTGTCTTATCTTGTTTACAGTTGTTGTGTTTTTTTAGTCCACCAAATGCCCTGCAACTCAGAAGGGAAACCACTAAAATGGCTACAGGCAACCTTTCATAGCCTTCCGGTCACGGTATTTTCCTAGAATCAGAGACCCCACATATTTAAAAATTATATACTCAGAGTTTTACAATGGTTGCTTCTGAATATGGGAAGAAAATCCTGGGCCCACTGGCATCAGTGGGAGTTTTGCATTGACTCTGAAAGGTCTATGATTTTAATGATCTTAAGCAAGTGAAGACAGAATTCACCTTACACCATGTCTATGCACTACTCTGAAGCACTGCTTTGATTTTTTCTATTCAAGGGTGAACCAGGGTTACCTGGTCTTAGAGGTCCTGAAGGTGCTCCAGGGATTGGAATACAGGGGGAAAAGGTGAGAGTGTTTTACTGAAGGTGAGTCAAAATTGTAATGTTCCAGGAATAGGTTTGTCAAAGCCTTCTCTTTTTTGGTCTATTATAAGTAACAAAAAAATATACCTCAAAGAATAGTTAATGAGTATTTCTAAAAGAGGTTAACTGAAGAGTTTATTTCAGCCTCAGCCTAAAACAACAAGTTTTAAAATAGCAAAGTTAATAAAAGACCACCCAGGACATTCTTTTTCATGCTTTTTTTTTTTTTTTTTTTAATGACAGCATAACAGTTCAATGGCTCACAATTTCCAGTACCTGTGGTAGTCCGATCCAAGAAGTTCACAGATAGCTAACTGGGAATACTATTTCTCTTAGTAGGAATAATTGGGTCAATCTTATAGGTTCTGGTTCTCGTACTGGTCTTATGTACTGATTCACAGATGATGAAGTAATTCCAGTTTCTCATATCAGCATCTGTATCCTGTGAAACAAAGACACTGGAAACTGCTGAAATAGTTGTCCAAGACATTGGACAAGACATACAGAGATTAAATGTCACAAGAGAAGAGAAAGAAATTAAGTATTGCAATTGCAAGAAACTGGAAGGGCTAAAAAACAGTGTAGGAAGGAAAATCAAGGTATCCACCTGTTTTCAGATTACTTTGGTAGGGAATACATGCAGATGCCATGATGCAGCAATAAAATTAATTACAGTATTGAAATTTTTCAGAATGATTCTGGACTCATAGCTGTTTCATTTTTGTTGTAATTATTACAGCCTAATAATATGCTTAAATAGCAGTTATCCATTTACAAACTTTACACTATCCTTAGATTTCTCTGCCTGGAAGTATAAGCTGAGCAATCAGACAGGGTATCATGGTCAATTGATTGGCCCTATTCGCCTCTGAATTAAAAAAAGTACCTCTGAGTGAATTATATTTTCCTGTTTTGATTATTTCTCTTAGGGAGTATCTTTTTCATGTAATTACTTAACTTGATTTTTCAGCTGCAAGGATGCAATCTTTAAGACTCCTTTTGGTTCTTTTTTTCCCACAGTATTCACTGGTAAGTCGGTTAATTTAATTTCACATGACATCTACATAGTTTTAACTGTACAAATCCAAAACTGGACAATTACTGAGCAGAATTAACTGACTTGCTAATGAAGGCAATAGGCTGGTGCACCAGGAACATGTGCACCAGCTACAAGATAGAACTTCACTATCTTTCACTGATATTTACAGTGAATTTCAGTTAATGCATTCTTAATATTATTTGATATGTGTGACATGTCTTCTCCATTTTTGTAGGGAGATCAAGGTCAGAGAGGAATACGTGGATTGACAGGACCAACAGGAGTGCCTGGACCTGCTGGAGCTAAAGTAGGTTTATTACCCCATTATGTGTGTAAAATAGTCCCCCAAAGCTGTGCTTTGTTCTGGATCTCAGAAACAACTGTCCCAGAATGAACTTGCTTCTTAAAAAATAATCTCAGAATGTCTGAGAAAACTGAGAAGAATCTAATTTCCATTGAGAAATCAGAACTATGCCTGTTATCCGTTCTTCAAATAGTTAGATTTCACTCCACATAGAATACTAGAAATTCTTAATGAATTTTATTGGAATATTATAAATTGTTGCATAAATATTTTCTCTATGAGATGCTCATGCCCACTTTCAGAAAAATCCATCAGTTTTGCTCTCCTTCCTTCACTGCAGGGAGAGCCTGGTACACCAGGACGTCTCGGAATGCCAGGCCCTCCTGGAAGAGCTGTGCCTGGACCAAAGGTAACATCCACACTCAAGCTTCTAATGCTTATACACACAGGGTGAAAACTCTAAAGTGGGCCATGCTATTATTCGTGTAAATAATTTCGGCCTTATGAGTTCAACTAAGACTTCTTTCCTATGAACAGAGTTACAGCCTGTACGCAGCTTAGTTACCACCATGCCCCAGTATTACCTGTATACCAGCTTGAGGTGTGGCCTACCTATGTTCATTTCTTTGTTTTGGATAACCTTGGATATCAAAATACTTTTCCTTCTTCTGCTTTTGCTGTTTAATGCTTGCAATAGCAATAAACAGAATTAGCTATTATATTTGATGTATATAAATTTGTATAAGAGAAATCAAAAAACACAGTCTGTGATTGGTATTTAATAAAATACATAACTAGAGTATACATTTTCTTTATTGCAGGGTGACATTGGGTTACCTGGTCTTGCTGGACCAATTGGAGAACCAGGTTTTGGGCTTCCTGGAGCAAAGGTAGCTTCCAAATTGGTAAACTAATTTCTGATAGAACTGTAAAATGAAGCAGGATTTCAGTGAAGCAACAGCAAACCAAGGGTGACCAAGTGTTCCATGGTTCTTAATGTGTATATCATACAACACTAGCAGAGTATAAGGATTTGCAGAGCCAGAAAATCATGGATGGCCAATCTTCCAGACTCCATGAACAATAAACTTTCACATGGCAGAGAACCAGGAGAAAAATTACTAGTTTTAATTGATGAGGAGTGAACACCTGATTTATGTGCTTACAACAGCCTGCCTATCAAGCAGTTACTTTTTCTCAGCTAGGCTCCTTTGCTTCATTCCTAATTTTAATACAGGGCAATCCACAGACTCTAAAAAGATCTCAGGACATTGGCCAGACTGGCAGTGTGAGAAGAGATGCCTTAAGTAGTGGAAGAGGAACACAAGCAAATAGCTAATCTCTAAGGACTTTTCTCTAGCACTTCTTTAGTATTGACTCAGTGTTACCTAGATTCAATGTTTGTAAGCCACTCTTCATTCCAGGGTTGATTTTGTCTGAACATCAAGAAACTTGGGACATATAAACCTGTGTTTGTCAAAAACCTGGATGCCCCCCCCCCTTTTGTTTTTTACTTAGTGAATTTGACAGTACTTTTGTGTATAGTCCTTATCCCTTCTTGAGTGAACTGAACACAGTTAACAGAAACATGAGAAACATGTAACAATCTCTATCCCTTTTTGATCAATTAGTGGTTTTCAGATCCTTGAATTATTTTCATCAGAAGGAGATTATGATGATGGAATCACGTACTTTTCTGGTACAGTCCAGTTAATTCAAAGAACCGCATGTTGTCCTATTTCTGAAAATCCAACAGGAATCAACTAACAGGAAGCAGGTCCTTTGCTCAGAGTTGCAAGTCTCTCTCCCTCAGCCTTGAGCCCCCAAAGTTCTTTCAGTTGGGTGACACTGGATGTTTCTGTGACTATGTTCTTCACTTTCTGCTGTCTTTGTCAGTATTAGTGGTTTTGCTGTTGCTTCACTCTCAGACACAAATCTGCACTAAGCTGTTCCAGGTAATATTTTACAGTCTCATTTTTTTTAATTATTTTTGCATGGGCCTTTGCTCACGGCTGTTATGCCTGCCCATATTTTGTGTTGCTACAGGGACAAACACAATCTTGATCATCCATCCAGCTGTAACTGAGCAACTCACTGCCTCATCCAGTATGGCTGGGAGGGTTAAAGTCCTCTTAGTTTCCCTGGTACATCTGTTCCTGAGATACTCTAGTTAGCTGGATCCATGAAAGGAGCTTAATTGTACATCTCTGATAGGAAGCTCCTGTTATACTCAATAGCTTTAATGAGGTTCCACAGCATTATAGGAAAATACAATTCTGGAACAACAAAACCACACAGGAACCTTGTGATAGAAAACAACATTTTTAAATCAGCCACACAAATCACTGTCGTCCCCTGTCCTACATCCTTTGTCTCACCACAAAAATATACAGCATGTGCAGAAGCTGTATAGATTTCCCAAGGCTCTGCAGCAGTTTATCTATCTTCAATTATAAAAATTACATAAAGTAGCTACTTAGTAATTCAGTTCACATGCTAGATTTTTGGCTGTCTGTCAATTTGAGCTTATTCCCCTGAAGCTGGAATAATAGTAATCATGATAAAAATATGGGGAATGCAAATGAATTAATTCCTTCATATATGTAGGCCACAAATGACAACAGAGCTCTTGAAAAAGATTCAGATTATCGACTTAGAAGTGAAAGGTCTGGTAAATCCTCAGCGCTATGAAATATCCCAATTTTAGTCCAGGATTAATAACCTACAATAATCATTCACATCGTAAAACACATTAGCAGATAGACAGATAAAATCAACTTACAGAATATTTCCCAAGGAAGTTTCATTTTCACTGAAAATTTCCTGCTAGCAATTGTATTGACATTCACCTCAGCTGTTTTTCCTGCCTTCATCAGGGTGACCGAGGTCTTCCAGGACTCCCTGGACCCTTTGGGCCAAAAGGAGATGGTTATCCTGGCCCACCTGTAAGTTTATAGACAATTTTTTTTAATGTGAATTGGGAACAAATAGATGCTACACTAATGTCCACGACTGACATGCTAGGAAAGGTTTGGTGGTCTAAACGCCTAAAAAGGCTCCTCAACTGTGGAAATGCTTTTCAGCGTAGAAGGAAAAAGAAATCTCTCTCTGAACTAGTCCAAGATCTTCCATGTCCTCCACTTCGCCTGATTACACAATGTAACATATTCCAAGTGGGGCTTTTTTTTTTCCTGATGTTTCAATCAGTTCCCTCAATGTCTTGATGTAGGATATTGTCTTCTGCCCAACCATACAAAATGTATTCCCAAACAGGAGATTATAGCCCAGCTAAGCAGCTGTGTCCATATACATTGGTGTGAACTCAGGACAACACTATCTTCCAGAACCACTAAAAAAGCAACTACTGTCCAAAGAGCCAGAAGAGCAAACTGTCCTCAGTTCTGTTCATCAGGTTGTTGAAGGTGTGGCAAAGTATTGGTTGATCCACTTTACAGCCCTTTACAGAGGTCTTTACTGGTAGATATGACCAATATCTGCAAAAATGGATACAAAGAGAGAAGGCTCCTTCCTCTCCTTTCCTTGCACATGTATGCAGTGCTGGCCTTACACATCTAGTCTGCTCAACACTGTGCTCCACCAGCCCTGGCAGTTACATGCCTGTGCAGTGAGGAAGTCCCAGGAAGGTTGCTGGCTAGAGTCAGAGAGTTTGGTGATGTACTAGTATTTTTCTGTGCTAAAGACAACAGCAAAATTGAATGCAATTGCCACAGCGAGGAATAAAAATTAATGAATGTCAAAATGGAAATTGGAATCCTATTTATAATACTTCCAGGTATTTTTGTGCAATCCAATGCAGAACTGCTTCTTCACCTGCCTCTCTGAATAAGACTCCTCTGTCTTCAAACACGTGCAAGCCTCCTGCATAACATGAAAATGCCACTGACACCACTTCTGGCTTATCAGAGTAGAATTTAACCAATTATAGACCACAGTGATCCCACTAAAAGACAATATATTGAAGATACTACCATATTAATGTTGACAAAAGCATGTAGTCAATACAGCCATAAATTAAATTAATATTCTGTCTGTGTGTGTAATTTCAGGGCTTGCCAGGCCTTCCTGGGATTCCTGGTGAACAAGGCCCCGATGGAGTTGGACTACCAGGACCTAAGGTACAGATCTTAACTTGTAGAAAATTAAATGCATGTGTGTACTCTACTTCATGCAGATATTATTCCTATCCATAGGTCACAGTCAGAACACCTTTTTAATCCAACTTTAATTTACTTGTCAATATGTAAAAGGTAGATCCCATAAAAGATCTTCAAGCTTCACTTCAGACCTCATCCTGATGCTGACTACAGGATTACTGGAATTATACAGGCAACTGAAGAATTGACTACAGCTATTTAAATATGCTTAATGTCTCTTAAAATGACGCACATCTTTTTGCCATTCACTTCAAACCCCTAGCTGTCTGAAGGCACTGATAGGAAAAAAGGTAGAACAGTGCCAATGTGACCATAGAGTCTGATTCAACTGACAGGCAGCAAGCAAGACCACTTTTTTTGTTTGGGGAACCTGGAGTGTATTTTATGATATGGGAATTATAATTCCTGTGTAACTGTTGCATAATTGACTGTACGTGTCTTGAATGTTTAGACCACCAGCCACTGTTTATCCCAAATAACTTTCTTCTCCTGCCTGCGGTATTCATGGGTGAGCATTGTTTAGACTTGCACTGTGCTATTTGGTAACCCTCCTCTCTCTGTCTCATTTGAGTACAACAGATGCTGGGAATTCTAGAGATAAATTTGACTTTGGTATTCACTACTTATTTTTTAAAGTATCAACTTTCAGGGTGATCCTGGTAGTAGAGGACCAACTGGTCTCCCAGGTCCCCCAGGAGAAGGCCTGCCAGGACCAAAAGTAAGCCATTTAAATAATGATGTCTCCCATTATGTACATTCTAAAAAAGAAGAAGAAAAAAGTAAAGTATAAAAATGTGTGATCATACATACACATCTACATGTTTTCTGTCTTCACTCTTCACTAGTAACAACTAATATGACAAATAACTAAGGAATACAGTGTCTTTATTTTATAGAAAATAAATAACATTTCTGATCACTAGCCATAAACCATGGCCTTCTTCTTACTGCATATGATAAATTATAAAGTGATAAACCTGCAGTGAAGATCAGTGGCAAAACATTTAGCTCCTGCAGACATTAGCTGCAATTGAGTAGCAAAAATTTCTTCAGACCTAACAGTGGTCAGAATTAATGGCCTGGCAAGCACTTAGCATGTCTTGCCTATACTACTGTTACAACTACAGGCATACTGTTGAGTTCTTCTAGATTTAGTTCCTCTTTTTCACTGTATAAAGTAAATCAATAATAACGTAATGACCAATGTGATGACTAATCCCTGCAAAAAGGATTTATGTAATGATAATATACACTGTGACAAAGGCCTGGAAATAACTGTAACTATAAAAAGCCATTTTCACTATGAAACCTCCCAAACTGGAAACCCTTATGCTCCTACAACTCAGCTTTAGAAGTCCATTAATACAAACAAACTGGTTTAGAACGTAAATGTAAATCAACTGAACAAGGTCAAATGCAAAGGTTTTGCAACATAATAATTTATTACCTGCACAATGTGGCTTATTGGTCTCAGAGATTCAGTCCATGTTGGCATGAAGGCTAGGTCCGGAGCTAAGCAGTGGTGAAGCACTTCTCCAGCCAGTGTTAGTCCCAAGGACTGGCATGTGCACAGGATCCTTACAAATGAGGAAATTGAGAATTTAATGCAGGGATACTGGAATAGCAATATGGGTATGAAATTAATATTGTACTATGTGGGTTTTGATTGCTTCCTATAAATAACATATGGAACTGAAACATTTTCTCTAGAGTTCTTTTAAAAACTAGCTTACAAGTTAGCAACAAGTGTTTATTTGCAATGCCACATTAGTATGTATGTCTATAGGCCGTACTGTGTAAGCTTAATAGTGATGAAAGATAACACAACAATAATAATCCTCTCTTAAATCTTACTTTAGTCCCCAACGTCCCACTAATACAATCCATCCTTCAATGCTATGTGTATCTCTATCAGCAAGGTGAGTCATGTTCAATGAGCATTAAGCCCTGCATGACTCCTTTGAAGTATAAACTGGATGTTAATAATCTGATAAAGGATAAAAAGAGTCTTTGTCAGCTAGAACAATCTTATCCTCACTACTTACAAAACCCCATCAATTTGGTAGAGGATGGACAGGAAATTACATGGTGGTATAACAATTTATTGTAATTTATTTATTTATTGTAATTTATTTTAAGTATTGTATTTAACGTATGCAGGGTTTCTCTCTAGGGAACCATGGGACGCCCAGGGCCACCTGGATCTTTGGGACCTCCTGGCGAAGGTATTCAAGGAATTAAGGTAAAAAGATTCAGTGTCTTCAATATTTAGCCTGTGTTGAGTGGTGAATCTGACCATCACAGTGTTAAAGAGATTTCACATTGTTTCTTATCTGAGAGATACTCAGGCTAGAAAATTAGAAGGACAACATGAGCACCTACAACGTATGTTCTGTCTCTGCTGCTGCAAACAACAAGCCCAAGAGTGTGTGTATCGAAGGAGGAGGAAGCAGGGTTGCCTTTTATCAGTGAAAGATAGCCTTACAAAATTAAAAATACCGTTCCCTCTTTCCCAACTCTCATGCCCACAGAGACAGTCTGAAGTAGCTATATGAACTACCACCTATGGTAGAGAAGGAGTCTCCATCCTGTATCATTGTGTGATGTTAAATTTTCCCTGTAATATGCACTTTTACCCAAAGCATAGATCAGATGAGACTGACTCAAAAGACAGAAAAAAGAAAGGGAGGAATAAGAAGGACTAAAATGGGATGGAAAGAAGGAACGGGAGAGTTAGAACCGGTAATGATCATGTGGTTTTTCAATATTATATATCTTTAGAGCAGACATACTGATGAAATACTTGAGAAATATTAGCTAGTTACTATGTTGTTTCAAGTGCCTTGAGACACTTTTTGAAATGCAGTTTGAACCACTTTCTCTTTGAACATTTAAAATTAATGCATGATGAATGGTTACAAAGGGTTAATATCACTACTTGGATTATCATTAGGGGGAACAAGGAATTCAAGGAATGCCAGGACCACGAGGCCCCCCTGGAGAAGGGCTTTTGGGACAGAAGGTATGATCTAAATCAGAGATAATGTCCTAAACCGAAGCAAACATATTGAAAATGCTCATTACAGTCAGCTCTCATTGAAGGCATGTGAATTCTGTGAAAAGGGAATGGGGATTTGGGAAAAACCCAGTCATTCACATGATTGTTTCAATATTTCATAAGAGCATCTCTTTCAGTGTTGCTTATTTTAGTATCATATGAGGCTCATCTTCTACTGCGATTAGAAGAAATACAAATATTAGATTTAATATCACTGCCTTTCTTTTACCCACCCACTATGCAAAATTTGGGGACTATATCAATGTCAAGAAAAAGAGGAATGTGGGTTAGAATCAGTTTTTGGATGTGATCATATCAGCTCAGAAAGTCCCATAGCCTACTAAAAATCAAGCCAGGAGGCATTAATTCATCTGTTTGCTATTCCAAACACCTTTTCTGGGCCAAAAGGTTTCTCAGAGTGATAGTTCCATTATTCATTCCAACTACATCCTTGCCTTTCTTCTCAATTTTCTTACTGTTCTCTTATTTTTCTCAGACATGGATAATAATTTCCATCACACAATATCCTATGAAACACCTATCTGCATGTACTTGTTCGAGATGGTACATTGTTCAAACTGCTTCAGCTACTTTTTTCCTGTAAAAATGCTTAGCCAATACTACACGTTATTAATGAAATTCACAAATACCAATTGATTTAAATGATCTCTAACAAAGATGTCTAACTCATGTCAGGAGATGAAGGTGAATTAGACAAAGGCAGCTAGAGAGAAATGTGAAAAGTGTAACAAAAACTGACTTACTTTCTGTCTGCTTACCAACATGGTTTTAAAGGGAGATCGAGGAGCTACAGGTGAAAAGGGGAAAAAAGGAGAAAAAGGTGATGTGGGTGACCCTGGTTTATCTGGAGAACCTGTGAGTAACTCAGGTTTATCCTGTCTGTTTTCTTAAACTGCTTAAAAATAAAGCAAGGTTTGATGTTCTTCTTGCTATTTAACTCTATATAATCTGAAAAACTTAAGAAACTGAAACTATAGAAACATTTAAAAGCATAAAGACAACATTTCCATGCTGAATACCCCACTTCCCACTGATGTGGTTTCTTTCTTTAGGCGGTGAAAGGCAATTGCCATGTTTTAAGACAAAACTCTGCAATTCTATTTTATGGCTACCAAGTAACTGTAGCTCAGGCTTTCCCTCAAAGCTGATGACCAGATGAAGGGAGACAAAATGGTAACTTTTGCTGATGGGCAGATCCCCAGAAGCTGGAAAGCAAAATGAGGTCCCCTCTATTCTGACATTTGCATATTATTAAGTAGGGATACATAAACACCATTGCCATTCTTGCCCTGACAGTGGGCCTATTACATGCACATATGATGAAGCAGAATTCTGATCATTCCAGTCTGTCAGGCAGTTATACAGTCTCTTGAGAAAGGAAACAAACACAACATGGTAGACAGGAAAGCTTTGCACAGATTATCCCTTTCTAATGTAAACTGACAATTAGTGATCTAGTGGGAGACTTGAAATCATCCAATTCCCATAAAAACCTCACCACCTTAGGAGGTTGTAGATACTGCATGCACTAGGTAGTATCACAAAAACAGTATTTTTTCTATCCAAAGTTCTTATTGGCCAAATATTGATCTAATAGTGGTATTGATGAAGTCATATTCTGAGTTACAATGTTACTAATTGCAGTAGCTTAATTAACAATCCCTGTTACAGGGCAAAACTGGACCAAAGGGAGAGCAAGGCCTAACAGTAAGCAAATTCCATTATATAAATCCCATTACAGCAAACTATGAACAATACAAGATACTATCAGATGAAATGTAGCCTATGTTTATTACTTTGGAAAGAGCTTTCTGACTAGAATTGGTCTCTGTAATAATATAGAAAGAAACCATGTAAAGGTTTCTGACTTTTTCTCATCTGCTTTATGCTGAAATTAAATTCAAATTTCCCAGTGATTTTAGGTATTTTTCTGTTACGTGTTCTTTTACAGTTAGTGTTAGATGACCCAGATGTGTATCTGCTACAGAAAAGTTTTTTTTAAAGTATTTAAGAGTCTAAAGAGCAAAGATGTTCAAACCTGTCATGGTCTATCATGCTATAAAGTTAATTATACTTCTGCTAAGCCTGAACTGAACTAGACCCAAGTTTAGTAAAGCACATCAGTGAGTATATAAATACTACTGAGGTTTATGATGGAAGCTGAGCAGCGGTAGCAAAAGTTTGTATCTGAAAGACTGACTCCTTGCCAAGCGAGTTCTGTCACGCACTTCAAAATATTTAACAAATATGAGAAACACTTTGTCTGCATGTCACAGAAGCTATCACTTTTCTGAACAGACAGCTCTGAAGGCAGTAACTTTTCTTTTGCTGCTGGAAGTTGGGTAATACAGTGGGGCCAGGTACACTAGGGTTCACAAATACCAATCCCATTCTGTACTGGTGTGCTCTGTCATATGCCAGCTCACTACAAGCAATGCGCTTCCTGAAGTTGGGTCTATTTCTCCACTCCCAGTAAATTTAAAAAGGATATCATTATTCAGATGCAAAAACATGAATTGGTTTTGACTTTAAGTTTTAATGAGAACCAAATCATCACAGAACATTCTTTACAGTAACAGTAGTTAATTGTTTTAGATAGAGGTGTTACTGTGTTGTCAAGTTAATGATTCTTATATGCCATATACAAAGGTTCATTGTAATATATGGAACTCATTTCAAGTTTGGAAGGTCAGGTTTCAGAGTTAAACAGTAAGATTTTTTGCAAGTCCCTGTAGGACACAGATATTCATTATAAACAAAATCTTTGGTAGTGTCAATATTATACTTCATTTGAAAGAGGCAAATTGTAAAATATTTTTATATTTAATTTCTTCATATCCAGAGAGAAGATATAATTAAATTAATTAAAGAGATATGTGGTAAGTACTCAGGAAATCTTTTAATTTCAGATTCAGTTTCTTCTTCATTACATTTACATTCTTCTCCTTTCCAAAAGCATACCAAATCATCATGATCTGTTTTTTCATTTTTTCTTTGCAGGTTGTGGTATTAAATGTAAGGAAATTCCTATGGAGCTTGTATTTGTCATTGACAGTTCTGAGAGTGTGGGACCGGAGAACTTTGAGATTATCAAAGACTTTGTAACTGCTTTAGTAGACAGAGTGACTGTAGGCAGAAATGCTACCAGAATTGGCCTTGTGTTATACAGTTTAGAAGTTCGGCTAGAATTTGGTCTCAACAAGTATACAACTCAACAGGATGTTAAGCAAGCGATTAGAAAAATGCAATACATGGGAGAAGGGACACACACAGGAACTGCTATCCGTAAAGCAACCCAGGAAGGATTTTTTGGTGCTCGAACAGGAGTGCGAAAAGTAGCTATTGTGCTAACAGATGGCCAGGCAGACAAGAGAGAAGCTGTAAAACTAGATATTGTTGTTCGAGAGGCTCACGCAGCAAACATCGAGATGTATGCAATAGGAATTGTAAATACTTCAGATCCAACACAGGCTGAGTTTGTGCGTGAACTAAATCTGATCGCTTCAGATCCAGACAGAGAACACATGTATCTCATCGATGACTTTAATACCCTTCCAGGTACGTTCACTGCAGTTTTATTCAGCATTGTATCTAATGCTTCTCAGAACGGGGTGTGGGGGGGAAGCATTATCTTTGCAGATAAGTTATGTTTTGATGCTGATCAGGATTAGTCATAAGATACAAAGTAATAGGAACTCAGAGATACAGATTTCCTTCTTTTAAGGAGTCATGTTTTAGGGCAACGATTCATCACACCAGCAGGGGATGTCATCTACAGTGTAGGAAAACAGCTGCTTAAACTCACCTTCCAAGCTGAGTAAGTGCTCACTGTAAATCTGCTGGAATGGAAAGCAGATTCAAACCCACTGGGGTAAATTCTACTTATTCACTACCATTGGGAAATAACCCATTTTCATTGTGTTATTCATATGAGCAAGGTAAACAGTTATTTTCCGACTACCAACCGGTAGTTGTTACTAAGCTCTGATGAACGCATTTAGGTGAGTTCATTGTATTTTGTACCATGTAGAGGACTTGTGGGCTGACAAATTTCTGACAAATAAAAGCCATAGCCTAGAGAGCCTGGAATAATCTTCTTAGGTGCATATAAATAATCCAAAGGGGTAGTGGATTACATGTGCATTATTTATGTATAAATAATAATCCAAATTCAAAAAAATACATCTAATTTCTCAGTATGATGAGTTTTGCCTTTTTTTTTTAAAAACAGCTCTGGAGTCCAAATTGGTCAACCAATTTTGTGAAGATGAATATGGCACCTTAATATACAACCATAATGGAAATGGTGCAAGCATAAATGGACCATCTTTCCATTCAGTATCTTCAAGTTCTTTACATTACATACTTCAGAACAACAATGTTAATAGACAATCACTTTCAGTACAGACACCTGGAGTATCTACAGTAGAAAGTCCTCTGAGTCTTGGTGGTCTTCCTCAACCATTAGCTCTGGTATGAATATTCAGCAGGCTTTAATGAGAAAAAGTGATATATATATATATATATATATATATATATATATGTATGCTTCTCTGTTGCTTGATGTAATATGTGACTTTCCCCCTACTTTTCTACAGGACAGGTACTGTAATATCTCCTTTAACTTGGTATGCTCCAAGCTGCTTGAACACTGATGTATGCAGACAGTTATCTAATGACTATAATTTATTACTGATACTGTCACAAGGATTACTATTCCCATGTTTAATATAGTAATATTTGTGCCACAGTGTGAAACGTAACATTACTAAAATGCAATTACACTGTAATAATTAAGTCTAAGAATAGTAATTAAACTCAATTGTAGTGTATATTTTTGAGTTTGTAAATAAAATTCTGTAAAGGTCAACTAAAAAAACATATACCCCAGGTTTAGGATTGACAACCCTCCTGGTAAACCAACTATGTGAGGTTAAAATTCTGATTCTTAACACTGAAGTCAGGGTAAGTGGGAAGGAAAAACATTAGAAAAATTCTAAGTGATGAAGGGCTTGTTCATTTTGAGACACTTCACTATCTGAAAAGCAAAGAAAATAAAATGCTTATTTCAGACCAAAGTGCCTCCTGTGGTAGTATATGAAGCTTATGAAGAAGAACAAGACGAGGAGGAACAGTCATCCTTGCTAGCAGTGGACACTAGAGGTAATTTTATCATCATTCATTTCTCTGTCTTCATTTTTGGCTGATCAAAAATCCATGTCTCATTCTGTTTCTTTTCACCTGCAGCTGTGCTACCATTATTGCCATCTAAACCATCATCATCAGATAAAGTGATGACATCACCTCTTTCAACTACAGGGCTCACACCAAGACCAGGTTATAGATCATAATTAGTTTTTCATTTTGTTCCCTCTTATCCTGATACTAACTTTTCATAAGGCCTTAAATCAGAGTAATTTTGTTCCAGTCTCTGAAGATTTTGTGAGCCCATGCTGTGGAAGAGAATCCATTTCAGGATTTTCTAACAGATCAAGTTGCAGTTCATGTCCAGCCTGTTCACCAGTTCTTGTCTTCCCAAATGATTTCAGAACTGGATAGAAATAATAGATTTCTCCTTCAGAGGATAAATAGGAAAAATCAGTGTTTAGTCATTTGAGGCTAAGTATAGTAATTAGCTGATGGCTCAAAGGATTGATTCTTTTCATATGAAATGTCAAAATTGTATTCTGTTCATCATCTGGAGGAGTCACACTTCTGAGTTCCAGTAATAGTGTATTATGATGGAAGCAACGGAAGAGAGCAATAAAAACATGTTCCTATGCTTCCTGGGAACATGAGCATGACTATTATAATGTCTCTGGCAAAAACTTTTTTTTTTTTTTTTAATAAATGCAAGATATCAGTTGCCAAAGTCAGAATATTGATGTCACAACATTAAACTTGAAGGAAAAGTATTTTCTATCTCATGGTATTATTAAAGTGAATGAGGCTAGATTAGTATGTCACAGTCCTCTAATGCACAGCTGTAGGAGTCATTAGATTTACATTCAAACTTGAATCAGTATGTACATAGTTACTATCATTGTATCAGATAAACAGCACAAACATCTTACAAAATAAAGACTAAAGTTTTATATTCTAATGCCTCTTCCCCCACACCACAAAGAGAACTAATGTACTGAAGCAATGTACTGCTGACAGACGATGGTCATACTTGTGGTTCAAAACTAACAACTAGCTTACAGCTCTTTGGCTTACACTTTTGGGTTGCTTACAAGACTGGTTGCTGATAATTAGATTTCAAAACTATCAGATTCATATTGTTTGTTCTTCTTGTATGCGGAGCCATAGTACTATTCTTTCTGGAGTTACTAGAACCATGCCAGTAAAGAAACAGTTTACTTGACCTGCTAAGATGAACTTTTAACTTGCCTTCAATGCTAGCATCTTTAGAAGTAAAAGTTAAACTGCTCTGTAACAGTAGCAGAAAAAATAAAATCAGAGTTTAAAAGTTAAAATCTATGCAATATATTTGACTTTTACAAACTGAATTGTTTCCATTCCTTTTTTTATTTTAGAAAGCATGCTGGACCTCCGGTGCAAGTTAGGGCTGGACCAAGGGTCATGCCGTGTTTATATCATAAAATGGTATTATGATAAACAAGCCAATGCTTGTGCTCAGTTCTGGTATGGTGGCTGTGATGGAAATGCAAACCGCTTTGAGAGTGAAGAGGAATGTAGAGAGGCTTGTGTATTTTTTTCTGGAGGTAGGAATTTATCTCTACACTAATAACAAACAAGTTGAAGATATTGATTGTTTGGGTTTGTTATCAAGTATACAGCATGGTATGTAAAAACAAACCCTCTAATTTAAATAATGTTAACATTATGAAGTTATATGCTCACTAAATAGAAAGGTCTACCTATGCAAGCTCACTTCCATCCTTTCTGCATACATTGTATGATATAGTCCTTATGTAACAAAATATCAATTTTTCAGCAGTATAAAGAGTACAAAATTTCCTTTTTACTAAAGTATAGTAAGGCGAGTATAGCATTTGCCATAGTAATATCCCTTCTTTCATCTAGATCTTTAAATACTACCATTGTACAATCAGTAACTATATCTCATTTTAAATAATATATATGGCTTTGGAAAGCAATCTTTGATCATTAAAATTCCATTATTTCTTTTCTCTCTGTTACAGAAATCTGATATTTGGCAGGGATTCTGCAATGAAGACTTCACTTTTTTTTCTAAGCAAAAGCATCCCCACAAATCTTACTTTAGTATTTGAAGCACATCAGTTTCCAAATTACATTCAGCACAGTACTCAGTACAGATAAATACAGCAAGTGCATCAACTTACAGCCTACATACTCTCCAGGTCACGAGACAGAGAGGTGACTCAGCTACCCACCTTTCCCAATCACATCACAGTTGCATTTAGTCCTTTTTTCTGTAAGCTTTCCTCAGTTTCCATTAGCTAGCAAGATACATGACAAGTGCATTTAAAACACATCCACAGATTTATATGAGTAACTGTACCAATAGCTGGGCATCACTAAATTATGTTAGTTCATGTCTGAAGTGGTCCTTAACAAGTTTCTCTTCTGAAAGCCAAATCTAAATTTAAATGCATTTTAGTATTTTCATCTCTCTTAAAAAAACTTTTTAAACTTATGTACAAAACATCAAATGCAACAGTTTATTCTCTACTGCCCGTTACTGACATACTAATTTTACATTTATGCCTGCCTGTATATTATGTATTTCCTATTACTTGACTTATATACTTAAAAGCTTGTTTCTAATAAAACATTTCTGGTTTTACTGCCAGGACAGAGAACAGATAATGGTACCTTTACAGGACTAAAACTTAACCTCAAAGCTAAATTACACTTACTGTGGAATGTGCTCCTGATGATGTAAACTGGATTTCTGCCACAGCCCTTAACAAGACTGAACATCTCAGATTAGGCACTCCTGTATATGAAACCCGACGATCATTTTTGGTTTGGTTTGTAGTTTGTTTTTTGTTTGTTTGTTTGGTTGGTTTTTTTCCTGAACAAATGGTAAACTCATACTAACAAAAAATGGAATTTGGCCACAAGCCACTCCCTACTCGTCCTACTTTAAGAGCCGCCAGGGCCGCGCACTGCTGCCGGGGCCGCGGCAGAGTCGGTAATTCACCGAGCAAGCGCGGGTTTCACAGGTCAGAGGTTTACCGAGCGTACGGTGGTTCGGTTTAACGATCGCCCACAACAATACAACTGTTACCTTGTACCAGGCAAAACTAAGACATGGAGCAAAAAGCTACAACTACCACGTTTCAACGACTCAGAGCACTCCGCTCTCCCTCACAAAACGCTCGACAAACGCCACAGCGCTTGAGCGTTGCCACCGGGCCAGGCCCACATCACGGCGGGACGAGCTGCAGCCGCCCCCCCACACAGCCCGGGGCCGCCGCTGCCTCAGCCGCGCCCGGGGCGGGGCCAGGGCAGGCGGGAGAGCGGACGCTCCCCCGCCCACGTGCAGCGCCGCAGCCAATCACGACCGCTGCGGCAGCGCGAGACACCACCCCGGTTGCCAGGGCGGCGCGGCGCGGTCGGCAGCCATGAGCGCTGTGTTGGACGTGCTGTGGGAGGACAGAGATGTCCGCTTCGACATCTCCCCGCAGTGAGTGTCGCTGCCCTGCCGTTATGGCAGCAGGGCTTTGGGGCCCCTCCGGCGTCTGTCACTGGGCTGGGCCCTGCCTCAGTAGGCTGAACGCGGCGGCCATTGGTGGCGCGGTGCAGGCTGGGAGCCTTCCCGGCGCGGAGGGGAGAGTTTCCCTGCCAGGGCGGGAAACGGTTTGTGTGGCCGTGAGGCTCGGGCGGGCTGGCTGGGGAGGTTTTGGTAGGTGGAGTCTAGTCACCGTTTCCAATCTATAACGGAAAAAGAAAAAAAAAAAAAAAGTGCACACTGGAGGACTGAGGGAAGAGTGTTGTTTTCCCAGCCGTCTGTAGCGTTACCTGGCGCTGAGAAGTAGAAGCAAACTTAAGATGTGTCTGAGGGAACAGTACCAGTCACTGGTTACAAGGACTTGGTGTCTCTGCCGTAGCGTTGGCGGCCTGAGCGCACGGAGGCGGGCAGTGGCTGTGCAGCCTCTGAGGGGCCGGAGGCAAAGGGTTGTCACGTACATCCTCGTGGCGGCGGTGCTTCTTCACTCCCGTGGGCCTTGACGTCTCATGAGCCGTCAGCCTTATCCGAGACATGAAGCTTCGGCTCTGGTTTCCGTGGCAAAACCCTGTCATAGCTTTTGTAATGTGGAGCTACAAATTAGCAGCTGATTGGTGCTTGATTTTGGGGGTGGAGGCTGAAAGTGTGCTATCATGCTTTATCTCCCTCCTACTCAGCTGACCTTACTGAGAAGGCCCCTTGTCCCTCAGACATACGGCCTGCAGTAATTTTAGAAACATGACATTGTATCTTGGATGTTTAAGAAGTTCTGTGTTATCTTCTTGTAGGATTGTCATCTAGACAGAACCGGCTTCCCTATTTTATTTAATGCTAATGTTACTATTCCTGTCTAATATGTTTAGTACTGTTCTGGTGATGTATTGCTAAGTCTGTACCTAGTGTCTCGACCCTGATCTCCAGTGGTATCTCATGGAATTCCCCTCCTGATAATGCATTTTGTTTCTGTCATGCCAATACACTGAAGAGTTTGGGCTGCTTTACACAATACAATTAAAATACAGCAAAATTTCACAGTACATCTATTGTTATGTAGTTAAGTGGTTAGACCAGTTAAATGAAGCAAAATACCAAAAAACCCTGAAACCTCACACACTTTGTGGAAAATTTAGCAGAGTGTTTCACACGTCAGTGTACATCTGATATTTCCTCTCCTGGCACCTATTCTTTCCTAGAGCCTAGCTCCACTCCTTATGACCTAAATGTACAGCAAGAGGCAACAAACTCTATCCATTAAAAATTACGTGAATACAACTTTTTTGTTTTTCCCTCCCATTTTCACACACTTTCTTCCTGTTTTGGGGTATAGTTTGCTTCATCACACTTGATACATAACTATTTATTTCCTGTTATAATGTAATAATAAAGTTATTAATATGTAGTGATAACAAAGATGTGGTGATAACAATTTCAGTTGCATAATGATTTGTGTGTGAGAAAGGAAAGCAAAGTGAGGAAATAGAAATGACTGCCTTTTGGAGGATAAACCTAATCTGTTTTTCATTAGGTAATATTTTTCTGTTTTTTCCTTTAGACAAATGAAAATGAGACCTGGAGAGGTCCTTATAGACTGCTTAGAGTCTGTTGAAGATACCAAAGGAAACAATGGAGACAGAGGTAACTGCACACTCAGAGAAACTGTAAACTTTCTGATATGTAACCTGTGTAGGGTCATGAAAGCCCTATCTGGTCTCCATGGAACTTGGTATCAGTGGTCTGTTGCAGAAAATAGATCCTGCCTGTTATACAGGTCTGTCTCCCCCTGGAGTATTTTCAAATAGGATCTTTTGTTCAGAGTTCTAGTAAGGTGACAATCTTGTCTCAGAATTCGTTTAGAATTGAAAGCCTTGTAAGAATAATCCATTTATAACAATCACATTGTGGTGATCTTTTGCTGTAATCCTGTTTAATGCTTAGTTTTTCCTAACCTGGTTTAAACTGAATCAGTAAGGATATAGCATGCAAGGGCATGAAGCTGCCAGCATGCTGAGATGACCCCTCCTGGGCTTGGATGTGCTGCTGTACAGGGTACAGAATCAAAGAAATTTGCATGTGACAAAGGGGTGAGGTTATTCATGAAGACAGCTGCGATAGTTAACTCGATGCCTTTCCCTTCTCTTCCCCAGAGCAGTTCTGCTCTGGCTGTGTCTCTACATTTTTATCATAAGCAGGTGGATGTGAAATCAGTAACTCTTGTTGCTTTGGTTTTGAGGAGTGCTGGTATATGTTAGAGGTTGTTTCGTTTGTTCCTTGCTGGCTTTTCTCTCCTAGCATTTAAAAAAAAAAAAAAAAAACAAAAAAACATTTAGTGATTTTTCTGCTGGGGTGCTTTTCTTGTTTTTCTTATCAAGGGGAAAGAATATCCTGGTGTTTCAAAACTAGAGATAAATATGTACCACAGAATGTAACATTTAATTTAATGTAAATTATTCAGATTAAAAATACCTACACTCTTTATTTCCAGGTAGACTACTTGTGACAAATCTGCGGATTATTTGGCGCTCATTGTCATTGCCCAGAGTCAATCTCTGTAAGTATCATCTGTAAAACAGCTGCAAATTTTGTGTTTCCTTGATGGTGGCATGCTTTTCTTTCAAAATAGTATTGATTATGGTACATAATAGTAAAGTATATTTCTGTTGCTCTGTACAGTCTGAAATAAACTGTTACTAATGAATATATTTGTAGTACAGGAATTGTTACAATAATTAATAGCAAAATATTAATAGTGTTAATTTCTCAGAACATAAGTTGAAGAGTACTTCAGATGTATTTTTCATTTGGCATATGTGGGATTCATTCATTTTTCTAGAAAGAAACAAAAGTTTGAGTTTCTTCATGCATTGCTTTATTTGTGCTTCTTTTTGCCACCTGTTTATTCACATTCTGTATTGTCCTATAGTTTTTATTCCCCACAGGTACCTAGCTTTCCGAATTTACCATTATAAGCTCTGAGTAAGCTTCTAATTTTAACTGTATGAGTAGCTAGCAAGTCTACTCATATTTTATTTAATTTGCTGAAACAGCAGCAGGATGCACTTACTTAGTACCCAAATTATTTCCAGTGCTCAGTTCCCAATAGCTAGTCAGTGTTGAAAATCTGTATTCTGTTCATAATATGTATAAACTTATGCCCTCTGCTTGCTTGCTCTTCTATGTTTGCTATCTCATGCAAGAGCATGCACACACACTGCTACTTCTATATGTATTTATAAAATTTAAAAAAAAAAGTGTGCATGTGTATTTAAATTTTAGAATAGACTTTTTTAGAGGAAATTACAAAGGAACTTACAGAGTAGTTCAGCCCTATAGAAGCTCAAGGAAGTCTAACCTGTGGCTTTTACAGTTTAAAATACTCTAGCTGTCAAGATAATGCATTATTTCTTACATTAAGGTATAATTATTTTAAGGTGTAATTGCATTATTATAAAATTTAAGAAAAAATTATTGAATGCCATTTTTGACCATTGCTATTTCTTTTAGTTTTAGAAAATTTCTCATAAGCAACCTAAGAAATAGTCTTTTTCTGGTATTTTCATATGTATTAATTCTGTAAAGACTGAATATTCTTATCAACATAACTGCTGCCACATCTGAGCTTGTGGAGAAGTAGAATCTTCCCAAAGTAAATTCTAGTTTTCCTTTGATTTTTTTTTTTTTTTTTTTTTTTTTTTTTTGAGCCTAGCTGTGCTACTATTGGTATCAGTAGCAGGATTGTCATTAACATTCAGATTTAGCCCAGCACCATTTTAGTGCATCTGTTTGTTTTAGGAAGAATGGCTGGAATTTTTTGTTTTATTGTGTATCAGAGCACTACTGTAGAAGCGGCAAAGTGAAATTTAACTATTATTTCCTCCTCTTCTTTTTGTTTCTTCTCCACTTATACTTTTGCTGCTTTTTTTTCTGTGTCACGCCCTTAGCCCTTCTTCTACAAAGTATTATATTGATGTAGAAAGTTTTATTTACAAGGGTAAAATTTACAGGCAACATCATGATGAAACAGACCTTCTTGAGGCAACAGTCAAATGCTGAAACAAGGGAAATTCTGATTAGATATTAGGAGAAAAATGTTCACAATGATGGCAGTCAAACAGTGGAACAGACTCACAGAGTGGTTGTAGAATCTCCTTCTTTGGAAATATTCAAAACTCAATTGGACAGATGGAGTTGGTGCTGCTCTGAGATGAGCATTGGACCAGAAAACCTTCCAAGGTCCTTTCCAGCTTAAATAAGTCTTTGATTTTGTGATGAGGGCCCAGACCATTAACCACAATATGTAATTCTCACAAATAGCATCCAAAGCTGTGCTACAAAATTCAGTGTTATACTTTGTAATTTTGACTATTATTTTATCTTTTCTCAAAACTGTTCTCTTTTTTGTCTCCCTTTTAGCTGTTGGTTTCAACTGCATTATAAATATAACTACAAGAACTGCCAACTCAGTAAGTTTCAAAAAATACTTTTTGTAATAAGAAAACAAGCTGTAATTCATTGTTTATACTTACTGCACCATATAAACAATAATCTGAAAGTTTAATCGCAAGAACAGTAGTAGAATAGTAACGGAAATTTAGTTTTAAAAGTTGAGAGAGTTTTGCGTTTCTGCAGGAGTGTGTTTTCAGTCTGTTTCCTAAAGCAGTAAAACTCATGTAATCACACCATTTGGTGATTCTTCTCCCTTCTAGGTAGGTCAAGCACATGTTGGTTCATTGTGTCTCAATTTAACGAAGGTCTAGAGAAGCACAAATTTTGTGCAAGAAAGCTTTCGAATACATAGTCTGAATTACATGCAACTGTGAAGCAATTTGTTTGTCTTGCAACAAAGAATTGGCATGGAGATTGTATAGGTTCTCCAGGCAGGCACATGGTAACAAAGCCAAAAATATGGTTTCAGTCATGATATTGCAAATGTATATCAGGTAGGCTACATTAGTTCTACTGTTGATGGAACTGCTAGTTTCTCCATAAAAACTGAGTTCAGTTAAGACAGCAGTAGATCAGTGGTAGAATCAGGATTACACCTTCAGATATACTATTTAGAATAAGAATTTTGAAAATACATCAAGATTATTTTTTGTCTGTACAATCTAGCTGCTATATTGTCGAAATTTAAAATTTCATTTTTTCCTTACAGAAATTACGAGGGCAGACAGAAGCTCTGTATATACTGACCAAATGTAACAATACACGGTTTGAGTTCATATTTACTAATGTTGTCCCTGGGAGTCCCAGACTCTTCACTTCAGTTATTGCTGTACACAGGTAGCATACTTAAAATAGTGTTTGTTCATTTACAAAAATCAGTGACTCAAATATGCGGGATTACTACTGCTGATAGACCAAGTATATAACTGCCCATATTTAACATTCAAAAACTTTCCCAAAACAGAAGAACACAATCTCTGGAAGGAAAGGAGAGAATGATCACAAATTTCAGTAGATACCTGTGCATAATGAAAACTAATGTATATTAATACCAGTCACTGATCATAGTTTATGCATACAAGGTGTATAAACTATGCAAACAAATAGAAGTACAAAAGAGCTAATTTAAGTGTGCATTTTCTATCTATAATTTCTGTCTATAATTCCCATCATTTTGGACCATGTAATGGAAATGAAGAGTTAAATCCTGGTCAAAACTGTAATTGAATACAAAACAGTGGATGTTTCCCACCTAAAGATAAGTCATCTGAATTTATGTGTGAATAATACATTAGCGTAAGTTTCTATTCAAGAGTATGGAATACTGATGTACGTACATTGGATGTTTGTGACTTAACTGGCACTGAAAATTAAAGGATTCTTGATGTCTTTACTGTGTACAACATGGGACCCAGAAGACTTATGCTTTGCAATAGAGGCTGGGAAGTTACTATCTTAAGGAAAATAAATAGTATACACATGAACAATACAGGAGATCAGAACAGATGTCAAAAAAAACCTTTTAAGTTTAAAGATAACTTCATTAAGGGACACTGAAATATAATGGTTTACACTGATGAAGTTTTAATAGTACACTAATTTTTGTGCAATGTGGTGATAAGAAAAGTTGAAAATACACAATATTTCATATTGGTGCTAAAATGAACAGTAAAATAATAGAAAACACTGGTATGGTAACGTGTATTTTATTTTTTTGTAGAGCTTATGAAACTTCTAAAATGTATCGTGATCTGAAGCTGAGAAGTGCATTGATTCAGAATAAGCAGCTGAGGTTATTACCACAAGAACAAATATATGATAAAATCAATGGAGTTTGGAATTTATCAAGTGACCAGGTAGTGAAAAATTACTGTTGACTACAGTAAGGTTAAAATGTTTTGGCTTTCATCTGGGAATTGTACTACTGTAGTTCTGTAGCCTCAAAGGAATTACCCTTAATTCAGTTCACCAGCTGATACATGCAGAGAAGCTGATCCCATGTATTTGCTACTCAATACAACGAAGTCTGCTTTTGGCAACCTGAAGTCTACCTGACTGGGTTAATATGCATGAAACTAGATACAAAGTTCCTGTTAAACAGTTGCATCTAAAGCTCTGTATCATCCTGAAAGACAATCATGTTGTTTCCAAAGTAAACTGAATGTTGGCATGTTTATGTGCAACTTTGATTACAATGTAAGACTATATTGTCTTTTGATTACTGAAAATTGAAAATACTGGAATATGAATCTGTGTCTTAAAACATGTAAAAATTAAGACTTTAAGGAGAAAACAGAAAACACTTCTGTTACTTTACAGAGCATTAGTTGCAAGTATTTCCCAGAGCCATGAAACAAAATGGGAGCTGTTATTTCTGCCTGTTCAATTTTAGTCCAGAATGGAAATAGGATCTATCCTGACAAGCTAAAAAGTTCTTTCCTCTACGTTCCCTTGGCACACATCTCCACAATTGCCTAAGTTTAACCCACATGCCATTATACTGATGCTATACGCCAATTCCAGATCTGTACAGTTAAGAACACTCAGATGCTTCATGTACTCCCATGAGGTCTGCCAGGCCGTGATTTGATCCTGCTTTGATGCAGTAATAGGTACTCCCAGCTATTTTCACCACTCGGGTGCTGTATCCTTTAAAGATTGAATCTTGCTTCCTTGCAATCGGTAGAAGCATTTCTGCTGGTTTGGGTGGAAAACAATCAGGCTTTTATTGAATTAAATATGAAGCTGTATCCTTCTTGTGTTTAAATGGATAGCAGTAATCATCATGTTTGGAAAAAAGGCTCTATACTTCAAAGCAGTTCTAATGTATCTTTTCTCTAACAGGGAAATTTGGGAACATTTTTTATTACTAATGTCAGAATAGTTTGGCATGCAAATATGAATGACAGCTTTAATGTCAGCATACCACATCTACAAATTGTAAGTATCTTAAAACAACCATTTTCTAAATTAAATGGCACAAGGTCAAGTCCTGAGTTAAAACTCTCAGCTCACCAAAATTAGTATTTCGTGTCCCACAGTCAGGGAGGAATTTAGTCTTGCCAGCATCAACCACAGGGTAGATTTTTTTTTTTTTTTTCCTGTCCAGATTAACTGGGGGCTTTCATGGGCAGGTCCAGAAGTTGAAAATGGCTTATATTTCCAATTTACAAACTATTTATTATGATGCTTCATGCCACCTACATACACTGGGATTAATGATCTATGAACCTGGTGTTTGGAAATGGGCTGTTGCTGCTCTTACCACTTCTGATAAAACCCGTTTTCCCTGAGGTTCAGGGATTCAGATTTGTAATGGTAGGTGGGAGGGAATGCTGGTAGCCAACCTTCCAGAACAAATAATTAGTACAGTGTAAAAAAAAAACAAAACAAAACAAAACAAAAAACCATAAAGCAGATTTTTATCAAGTTAATTCCAAAATTTTTAACACACACTTTTTACCTCTTTATCATTAGCGTTCAATAAAAATAAGAGACTCAAAGTTTGGCTTGGCACTTGTGATAGAGAGTTCTCAGCAGGTAAGAAGCTTTAATATCCTTTTTTTCATTGGTTAAGTTTTTATATATAGTAGTTCTCTAATTCTGAAATGTTACAGGGCCACTTTTAAGGTACTTACACTGTTCCTTCTGTGTGGCCTTTTGAACACAACTTCTAAAAAGACTTCTTTGCACTAGTTAAAATATCTGTATATTAAGGTCAGTATGGCTATTGTGAGTTATGATTCTTCTAAGCAAAGCAACAATAGGCCAGCATTACTAGTTAAAGTAAAATAACTGTTAAACATTTACTGAATAGCTAGAAATAAATCATTACTGTAACTTCTGAATTTCTCCAACCCTTGTTTGGTTTTGTTTTTCTGTGTAGGCAGCTTCTTCCCCACTTATATAATGGGCTAACAGTTAAAAGCTTATTTACCTCATAGAGAAACTTTGTCATTGCTTTTATTTCACCCACAGTTTAAGTGGCAGAATGAAAATAAGATAGTACCAAAATACAGATAATGTTTTATTGGCAAACTGAAATTTGTTACCATTAAACTGCAAATCCATATCAAGGGGAAAAAGTTATTCAAATAGTAAGCAACACTAATAAATGTATGTCTTCTTTTTTCTCTGTTATACAGAGTGGAGGATATGTACTTGGTTTTAAAATAGACCCTGTGGAAAAACTACAGGAATCAGTGAAAGAAATTAATTCACTTCACAAAGTTTATTCAGCTAACCCTATATTTGGAGTGGATTATGAAATGGAAGAAAAGGTAATTCACTCATTTATTTTAATTTAGATACAATACTGTGTTAACAGCAGTAATAAAAATATATCAAACATATTAAATATATGGATTTACTTACTTCGGTGTTTTAATTTGCAGCCTCAACCTCTTGAAGACTTAACAGTGGAACAGGTTCAAGATGATGTGGAAATAGAATCTGATGAACATACAGATGCTTTTGTGGTAAGCTGCTGCACAGAAAATTAAAAAATAATTCTTGTTTGGTTATTGTAATGTAAGCAATGTAGAGCTGTAATCCTCTATTAAAGATATGCTACAACTGAACTTCCTATATTTAAAACACAATCATCAGGAATAGCTTGAAAACCAGCAGTATAATATAATCAAATATATTAAAACAAGTCTTCCTGCTCTTGGAGCAGATTAATAGATGGTGATATCTGTACACACAACATTCATCAGAGATTCAAACAAGGGTTTGTAGAAAGAGAGCAATAATTTTGAGTCACTCCTGACAACCTTTGCACTCCTGACAGTACCAGTTTAGAAAACTGTGTTAGTATCTGTCTCCCACTTTTTAGTGCATTAGGTTGCTTGATGACCTTCCTGCTAGGAATTGCCAAATTTACTGTGCAGCCCAATAACACCTGATTGTATGACTGACTGCACAGGGTGACTGGACATGTTTTCAAGTGCTAGCCTTGACACATTGACAATTTACATGTTTTCTTAATTTCTGAAATTTGGTAAATAAGCAGTCCTCGTACCAATTTTATTTACATCTTCTTTTCTTTTGATATCATTTACTGATGCAGATAAGTTCTTATCTCTTCCTCTCCTTTTTCCTTACTTTCTGTCTTTTTTCTTTTAATTTTTGCACATTTTTATTCAGTCTTCAACATAGCTGAAGACCTACCTTTTTTTTAAAGGTAGGATCTGTTTGCTCTATTGGTGCCTTTGTCACCTGGATTAAATAACTGTGCTTTGTATGTTCTAAAATGGTGGTTGCTATAGGAGACATAGATCATACAGGATCCAAGGACTGTCTCCACGCCAGTATTCCATGCTACTTGCTGATGGCAGTGCTGTTCTCTAGAGTCTTGTATAGCTTGAGATCCAGCTGAGGAGGAAAACACTTTCTTTGCTGCCCCTCACCAGTCTGTAAGGGCAGCTGAAGCAAGATCAGGCTTTTTGGTAAATACAAAGATCTAGAGCCTGCTGGTCCAGAGACTTGTAGAGCTGTGGATATTCTTAGAGATACGGTTTCCTGAAGAGTTTGAGCCTGAATTTACACACACAGAGAATGGGAAAGGTTGTATCTCTTTCCCAGATCTATGTCTGAGAGTATACAAATTTGGTTAATTGTGCAGTTACTCTGTGTTCATTTCCTAAATTGAGCATGATGTTAACTGAATTTTGTTATTGCTTACAGATTTTAGGTTAGTTTTTGAAATTGAATAATAGTGCTGTACATGAGGCAGAAAATGCTAGTATGTTGTCAGTTTGCCTTCATATTAACATTTAATTCCCTATGAATTATTTGTAAATATAACAAATATAACACATTTTAAAAATCTTTGTTTATTATGGTGGAAAATTCAAAGATTGGTATTTCTTGAAAAATAACATCATCACCAACTCCTGTTAGAACCCTTCTGTAAATTATTTCAACGTAGGAAAAACTCTGATCTTGTTTACAAAACAAAAATAAAAACCATACAGACTGGTTTGTTGAAGAATTATCGAATATGGTTTTGACCCCAAGGAATTATTAACAGATTTGGTTTTAGACTTTTTTTTTTTTTTTCCCAAGGTCGTGAGTTCTTTTTTTCTTTCTTTTCCAGGCATATTTTGCTGATGAAAACAAGGTAAGAACATCTTTTTTCATACTACCAAGTTGATGTTGTTAAAATGGGATAATAAAATTAAAAAGTACCTTCTGCTTTATTTTATTTCTTCTCATATCTCATGCATTCAAAAAAAGCAACATGATCGGGAGCCTGTTTTTTCAGAAGAACTAGGACTTGCAATAGAGAAGCTAAAGGATGGATTCACACTCCAGGGACTCTGGGAAGTAATGACCTGATTTAGATTGGCATACGTTTGTTTCCTAAGCAAGAAAAAACCCTCAGTTCTTACAGGGCTTGTGAGATCTGTAGAATATAATTTAGAAATACCCAAGTAGCAGAGAAAGAAGATACCAAATTAAAGAGAAAGCAAATATTCAATAATATGCCCTCGGGATATGTCATAAAGGAAAGATTGTTCAAAACCCCTCATATGTGTAAAAGCTTTGTATTTATTATATTGTTTCTGTAAGTAGTGGGAGGACAACCGATGTCTTAATATAAGCAGGGGTGGGAGCCCCGCCCCCTGCAGGCAGTCACGTGTTCCACACGTCCCGCCCTTCCTCTGGTCACGTGGTATAAGGACCTGGAAGTCCCTCCCCATTACGTGTTTGGCAGCTGCCATTTTATTTCAGCCTCCATTATGTAAAATGTCATACGCAGTGTTTTCATACCGCTCTGTGATTGGCTGACTGCAGGTTTTGACACACTTGTACCCCAGGTGTTTTCAGGCGTGTGATTGGCAGGAGCATCCACCCCATCCTGGTCCCCCCAGAAGGCTGTCAGAGCAGGAAGCCCCCTACCCTAACAGCGCAGGGTCCGCCATGGTGTTTCAGCCACCATTTATGGCAGGTAGCCACCGTTTTTTTTTTCCATTTTACCTGAAAGTCTGTCAGAAAAGGAGGCCTCTTAGTATATACGTGGAGACTACCATTTGAGAGTCGGCAGTGTGTAGTATATAGTTTGATGCTCAATATATACAGTGATGTACTTTCCCACAATCATGATATCTAAATCAAATTTCCATAACTTGTTCAGTGTTGTGCAACATAGAATTATCATCATACACAGAACATTTTGTATCTAGGCATGTTGGCTGTGTCAGTGCAGCGGTGCTGTGTTACTGATGGCTTTAACAAAAAGCAATCCTGTTCCAAATATTATTTTTAATGTCTTATTGTTTTGTTAAATGTTCAGCACATATCATTCCAGGTACTTAATTGTAATCCTCATATAGCTTTTTCTTTTTTTTTTTCCCCCCCCCTTTTTCTAGAGCACTTGTTTTAAGGAATGATCTAGAAAAAGGTGCACACACAAATAGCTTCTGTGTCTGAGTCATTAGACCTTTCCAATGTTATGTGTTAGAGAGAAATGAGTCATTTATTGTTTAAAGGAAGATGCAGCTGTTACGTTTTCTAGTGAGATAAGACCTCTGCGCTATTTTCTATAAGTGGAAAAAGTCAAATGAGCTCTCCTCTCAGCTGTTGTTTTAGCAGCTGACCGTTGTAGTAAAGTAACTGTGGTATGAATATAATTCTGGTGTTTGTAGAAAACCTTTCTACAGGTATCTATTTTAATGAAATACTACCTATATCAAAAACCAATCGTGATTTCAATAAACTTTGATAATGTTATACCTCGTTGTAGATCTTGCATTCAAATAGTTATGTTTTCACCCTGTCTCCATTACATTCAAAGAACATTCTACTATATGGGTACCATCTAACATACTCTATGTGGGCAAAATACAGTCCTTTATCAAGGTGCAATAAACAACTTAAAATTTCAAATTTATTTTGGGTCTGTATGACCACCTTTAATAAAAGTATAAATGTTCCCAGCCGAAATTGTGAAACCTTCAACATATGCATAAATCTTCTAAATTTACGTTCACTTTTCAAACTCCTTGTCCAATTTGGGGCTTTTTTAGTTTGAATTCAGAAGTTTTTAGTTTTTTTAAATTACACATACATTAAAAAATGTTAATATGGTGGATTACACGTTTTTCATATTCCATTCTATCTTTCTTGTGTCCTGTTTTTGGTTTAGTTTAACAGCAGTTAACACCATTTCCAGTACAGTCAAATTTGAAAGGATTGATGATGTCTACAGACAATCTGAAATGAAGAATGGTGTTTATTAAGGGGAAGTGGAGACTTATTTTAAAATTATTTTTGAAAGCAGAACTTTACCCAAATAATGTATATTTTATATCTAAACAGTAGGGTTTTGTTTACAAATCAATACAACCAAGTGGATATTAAGAAGCAGCTCAAAATTAATTTCAGATTCTTATTATTAATATCTGAAGAAATTGCAGGTGTGATACGGATATGTGAAAAAATAATCTTAGAGCACAGATAATTGATGCAAAGATCTGGAGTTTTTAAATATCTTTATGACTACAGCAATGAGATGTATTAAGCAACTCTGAAAAAGTAAACAGCAATTGCAGCTGACAATTTGATTAGTTATATTTCTATTTCAGAATTTTTGGTAACATGTATATTTACAATCTTGCTCATAACTGTCTCACTGAGGGTCAGATTCTGAGGGTCCTTGCTCATGTCAAATAATTTCTTACATTGCACGTAATCTCATTGATTCAGTGTGGAGAATGATGGCAAAACCTGACCATAGTGACTAAAAGCAACAGTTGCTTCTTTCAGTCTTTGACAGCTGCAAGAGCAACTCTTTTTTTCCAAACCATCCATCCTAAATTCCGACCTGTAAGAGTATGTACCTATATTTAGCTGGTGAGATTAAGTTGCAGAGGCTTCAGGCAGGGCAAAGCACATTGGTCTGCCTTTTTTACAGACAGACCTTTGGGCAGACAACAGCTAAAGCTTTGTGCTCCCTCCCCTTTCTCAAGTATTTGCGAAATGGATTCCCAAAGGGAACTCACTGAAGAACTCAGACTTTACCAATCCACCCTTCTTCAGGATGGCCTCAAGGAACTCCTCGAAGAGAAAAAGTTTATAGATTGCTCTCTAAAAGCTGGTGACAGAAGCCTGCCTTGCCACAGATTGATTCTGTCGGCATGTAGCCCATATTTTCGTGAGTTTTTCTTATCGGAGCAAAATGAAGAGAAAAAGAAGGAGGTAGTTCTAGATAATGTTGACCCCAGCATCCTGGATATGATTGTCAAATACCTTTACTCAGCAAGTATTGATCTTAATGATTCTAACGTGCAAGATATTTTCGCTTTGGCCAGTCGCTTTCAGATCCCTTCTGTATTCACTGTGTGCGTCTCCTATCTTCAGAAGAGGCTCGCTGTTGGCAACTGTCTGGCCATCCTTCGATTAGGTGTTCTGCTTGATTGCCCAAGACTTGCATTTTCTGCCCGTGATTTTGTTTCAGATCATTTTGTGCAGATCTGCAAAGAAGAGGACTTCATGCAGCTTGCCCCGCATGAACTTATCTCAGTTATTTCACCTGACAGCTTAAACGTAGAGAAGGAAGAACTGGTATTTGAAGCAGTAATGAGATGGGTCCGAACAGACAAGGAAAACAGAGTGAAGAGCCTGGGGGAAATTTTTGACTGCATACGTTTTCGTCTTATGCCAGAAAAATATTTCAAAGAACATGTTGAGAAAGATGATATAATTAAAAGCAACTCAGACCTTCAGAAAAAAGTAAAGATTATTAAGGATGCTTTTGCTGGAAAACTGCCTGACTCTAGCAAAAGTACAGAAAAGTCGACCAAAGGGGAGGTGAATGGTGATGTAGGAGATGAAGATTTACTGCCTGGCTACCTAAATGACCTTCCCAGGCATGGCATGTTTGTCAAAGACCTAATTCTTCTGGTTAATGACACCGCTGCAGTAGCTTATGATCCTCTTGAGAACGAATGCTACCTGGCGGCCCTGGCAGAACAGATTCCCAGAAACCATTCCAGTATAGTCACCAAGCAAAATCAGGTCTACATTGTTGGAGGACTGTATGTGGAAGAGGAGAACAAGGATCAGCCCTTCCAGTCATACTTCTTCCAGGTATAAGCTTTGTAATTGTTTGTGTGATAATAGGTGCTTACAGGAGTTACTGAAAAGTATTGTGAGTCGATATGAGTGAGTTGTCTAGTCTCTCAGTGCGGTCGATGGAGAGAGATAAGTGAAACCAAGGGACTTGCATCTTCTCTTTCAAGATCAAGACCCTGGTGAGACCTCAGAAAAGATTAAAAGGATTAGTACATTCTTTCTAGGCACCAGCTTTCATTGTTTAAGGCCCGGATTTTTCAGGGTACAGATGCCTAAGTTTAACCTAATAATATTTTTGCAAAATACCTTTTGTGAATTTCTGTTAACTTTCATGAAAGTTGAGTGCTTAGTTGTGTTAGATCTAACGAGATGTCTGTCATTTTTTGCATCTGAAATATTTTTACGACGGCAGTAATGTGCATATTTTAAGTGCCACTTTTGTCACTAAAACTCCAGAAGTCCTTCTGTCACATCTACATTTGAAAACCTAATAACTTAGAGGTAGAAGATTTTTCTTTCTCTTGGCAAACTGTCAGTGTCACTACCCTAAATACTATGGTTTATCCGAGAGTGTAATTTTATGTCTTTGTGAATCTGTATAAATATAAGGCCAATTAATACAAACTGTAACTTCCACAACATATTTCAGAAAAATTAGCAAAAATACAATTCGGCATGCTTATGCCATAAACTGTTGTGGTTTTAGCTACCTGGCTACATGCTTTGGGGGATATTTAAACTATCTCGTGATTGATTATGCAATTTGCTGCTGGCTGTGTCCTGTTTTTAGGCACATTGGCCTAAAAGAGTGAAAGTAGGTCCTGTTTCAGTATGAAGTAAAGCAGAGTGATAAGCAGTGATAGAATTTTAAAGCCTTCTGGTATTTGAAAATGCAGATATTAAGTGCTTATAGTAGTATGGCTCCCTCTGATTTCATACACAATGAAAGAGTTGGTTTCAGATATTTGTTCTATTTATAAGGTGAGTCTTAGCACTGTTTCATTTCCTTATGTAGGTGTAAAACACTTATCACTGAAGTGCAAAACTTGTTACAGAAATATTCTTCTAATAGAAATACTGTGTTGATGCCATAATATATGGAATCCATAACTGAGTAGCCTAGGTCTCAGGCTATTAGAAAGGGACCTCTGAAAAACTAAACCTCAAGATTGCTTTTAATAAATGGTGGAAGTTTTCAGAATCCTACTTTATATCTCTACATCCATTTCATGAAATCCTGCTCTCTTGCTTGTCATCTTTAACTTTGCTTGCTGCCTCCACCACCTATAGTTAAAATACTTGTCTCTGTTACCCATGAGGCTGTGTTCCCTCCAAAATGCTAATGTGGTGACAAACCAGTTTTCCTGTACTGGTCTCCATTTCTCTACCAGTGAGGCACTTGTTACCATTTTATTTGGTAGCTAGCAACCCAGGAGCAAACAAGGCTGCCACTGGCTCAAAAATGCATGACTAGTTTATGCCCTGTCATCAGTAGATACGTCACCTTCAAGACTGATTCACTAAGCATGCTGTGATCAGTGGTGGGTGTATCTTCTCATTACGCCAGTCTGATCCAGCGACTGGGGCAATCCGTGTCCACGAACTAAATTTCACTGTTGCAATAAAACTTCGTGTCCCACAGGGGAAGTCTGTCAGATCTGGGAGATGCATTTCAGCACAGAGACCTTGACTGTGGAAGGTACTTCTGAAAAAAGGATGTCACTGAGCTAAACCCAGATCTGAATACTTTGACTGAACTTTCTCTTGCCTTTACACTTCATGCAAACTCACATTTTACATTCCTCTCCTGTACATTGTGGAGCAAATCTATATACAATAGAAGAGAGAAAATGTTATTTTTGAATGTTAGAAAGCATTCAGGTTCAATTGTAAGTTCCTAGATCAAAACAAAAATTAAGCACCACAGTTCTAGGAAGATACTGTTTTGGTTTGTTTGTTTGTTTTCTGTCCTCCTGCTGCTTCTCCTTAGGTGTTTTCAGTGTACTGGATGTGACTTGAGACAGCTGTGGGAGTACGTCAGTAGGGATGACATCAGTATTGTTGCCAATGGAGCTGCACTGCCTGCCTTTTTTGCTTAGGAGTGAAGTCTTTATTCATTGTGCCACCAGAGATCTCAGGAGCTTTTGAGGGTATTTATGATGAAGTGCCACCCCTTTTGCTCTAGGGATTGCAGAAGAAACATCTGTGCCATTTGCCATGTAATATTTCCTGATCATTAAGAGGTGTGAGGATGTCTGGCATCTCTTATTGTCACAATGAGCACAACCAGCTAAATGTGTAGGTGTGGAGTGGCAGGAGTGTCTCCTCCTTTCAGGTGTAAAGAAGAACAACTTGTTCTTGCCAGCATGTTATAAGGAAACCCAGAGTGAGGGACCTTTAAACAAGGAACAAGAGCTTAATAAAGAGGCAAAAAAAACCCTCCGTGGGGTTGAGTGAGAGTGAGCAGATGCAAAGAGAGCTGTGTAGCATTGGCTCTGCTAGGTCTTGGCACCGTGAAGCACAGGTGGGTGGAACTCATTATTCATTAGCTGCACTGGGGGAAGGGTGGGTTGTTCAGGCAAGCAGATGAGTTGTTGAGAGACACTAAGTGCAATCAGATTAATTCTGTGGATCGATGTTTACTGTGTGGATTTTTACTATTTGTCTTTCCTAACACTTCCTGCTTTGGTGCTCTTTCAGCTGGATAGTGTCGCCGGTGAGTGGGTTGCTCTTCCTCCGCTGCCGTCAGCCAGGTGTCTCTTCGGGCTGGGAGAGTCAGACAACAAGATCTATGTAATTGCAGGCAAGGACCTTCGCACGGAGGAGTCTCTAGATTCAGTATTGTGCTATGATCCTGTGTATGTTTAAAATTTATATATGCCCACTGAGGACATGTAAATAGCCCATTGCTAGCTGAAAGAGCCTAACGGTGATACACTCTTCTTGTTCCAGGGCAATGAAATGGGGTGAGATCAAAAAACTACCTATCAAAGTATATGGCCATGCTACTATCTCAAACAATGGATTGATATATTGTCTTGGCGGCAAAACTGATGATAAGTGAGTCTCTAAGTCTTTGCATGACAATTTATAACATTATTTGGTTGGTCATTTATAGTACGTGTCTTCACACTCAGAAATCAGCATTTCCCTTTTTAACATCTCTGGATTAAGGTTGCTGACAATTTAATAGAGGGGAACACGTTATGGTATATGGGATATCTTTTTCATCATAAAGTAGAATTGTGTATAAATTGTAATCCCAACCAGTTATTTTCATGACCATACTTACTTCCAAGGCAAATTTTGCTTACATGTGAGACACATTAGTAATATATAGCTATGAGGACCCTCACTGAAAGTATTATTGCCTTCCAGATAGAAATACTTAAGTGCTATGGAATTACTGTGTCAGATTTCATATTTTCTGACCTGTGATGCCTGTTATACCTTAATGGATATAACATTAGGGAAATTAAAGTTTTCACTCACACTGAGCACGTGGTGGTAATTTTCGGTGTTTGTATCGTGGACATTTAAGATACAAGCTTGTCAAATCAGCAAAAACAGCAGCATAATCTTTCTTTTATAACCTTTGTCATACATTCCTCCACAAACCTATCTGGATAAAGGACATTGTCTTTCTCCTGTAAGGTACAGTGGAATGGCTGCCACGCGTAAGGAGCATTGAACATTTAATGTAGTTCTGTGGATGTGATTAGCGCACATGCAAAGATTCCCAGATTTAGATACAAGAAGGGTTCTCATGGAGAGGAAAGTGAGATTACACATAAACCCACACAATCCACCTCAACTAGGTCTCTCTTGGAACAAGCCAAAAGTTCCTTAGAAATTATCACAGGTTTTCTTTTTCCTCCCCAGGAAATGCACTAACAGGCTATTT